CCGTACGGCTCTACCGGCACTCTTGGCCGGCCGGCAGCGAGTTTTCTCCTGCTGGATCCTGGGCAAGGGTTGAATGGCCCGAGGCTAGGGAGGTGGGCTCTGGCAGGGTGTTGCCAGATCAAGTTATGCCAAGGCCAAGCGGCAGTCAGGAGGACCTTGTTCGTTTCGAGCCATCCTCCCTGTCCATGCGGCTGCTGAGTGCCGAGCGACGATGGCGGTGGTGATCTTCTCGACCCTCGTCGTTTCTTCGATGGGCCATTAGGCACCACGGTTAAATCTCCGGCCGCGGATCTTGCCGAGGCGGACAAGCCTCTTGCGTAACGCCGGACCTTTCAGGATCAACTCAGCCGTGTAGGCTGGCAGGCCATGCTGCTAAAGCCGGATCTTCGAGCTGACCTCCAGCGCAACTGCCCGCTCTGCACTCAGTGGGCAGCTAGACCATCCGGTCTCAAGGTCCACCTGCAACAGTCCCATCCGGAGTGCAAAGCCTACGCTCGGCTGCGCAAGACATGGCCCAAGTCTTCAAGTGAGGGTTCAGCAAGCCTTGTCAACACTGTAAGGAAGTACGATTTGGTTTTCAGCATCACTGGAAGCAGTGCTACATGATCACGTTACTCAGCTTTCTTCACTGCCGGCTTTTGTCTGGTGCTCCGACGCAGCTCCTTACTTCTGCTTTGTCAATCTCCCGCTACGCCCATGAGCTCAGCCGCGGGTCAGCGGGAACTGCAACTGTTCACGAACTTCATCAGGGCATGGACACACCGCAGTACTCCAAGAGAGGAGAGGGGAGGAGACGGAGGAAATAGGAAACCTCGCAACTGGCTCTGTTCCTGAGTCACTCAATGGGGCGACCATGGACGGCAGATCAGCAATAAACCAGCCACTCACAGTGGTCTTTCTCTTCGGATATCACAGAAAAGCTGGCCAGGCTTCTCGTGCGCCACGAACTCCACCGCGAGCCTTCTTCTTCCGCTCTGAGCCGGCCCTCGCCAGATAGCTTTTCTTATGATTTGGGCGACAAAAACTCACGGTTGGGAGCATCACGAAATTAGTTGACCCGCTGCCGCCGCCTCTTCCGCTGCAGCCTCCATCGGCCTTGGATGAGTTGACAGACGCTCCTTTGCATGGTAGCGGTTGAGGACAGCCGCGACCAAGCCAGCGTCTGAGGCTGGCGCGGAAGTATCGCCGGCTGGAGTTCATGAACTGAAGCCTCGACCAGCGCCCAAGAAGTGTCTGATCCCAGTGCCATCCAAGCCTTCTCCATCTACGACACCATTAAAGTCCACGTCTGCCTCGGAGCACTCCACTCTCACGATGTTGAAGAGGTCATGCCCAGTGTGGACACACAGACGGTGGACCAGCAAGAGTGACCTGAGCATCAGATAGCTCAGGCAGCGGCTGCGATTCGAAGAAGAGCGAACCAGCTTCACGTTCACTGACTACCTGTACGCCGTTGCCACCCGGTCGTTTGGTGGAGGGCCATGCCTGCAGGATCGGCTTCAGGCGTAACCCGAGCCCGTCGTTTCTGAAGTCGAAGGTTTTGGGTCGCCCAGAGTGCCAGTGGCCTGGAGTCGTGCCGCCATGGAACCAGCAGACTCAGCTTGCATAAACAAGAAGCTTTGTGTTCAGAAAGATCCCTTTCGAGCTAGTCTGCCCAATAGGATTGGCGACAGCAGCACACCTGGCCTAGGTGGTGGGCAGGGCATGGCCGAAAATGGATCCTCGCCTGGTGTGTTGCTGTGTCTCTGGATGCACCTATTATGTATTAACCGGCTGCCTTGGTGCCCTGAACATGGGCTCGACAGCTTGTTGAACAGGTCAACTAGATGGTTTGGCTCGGGCTGATAACCTTTCAGTTCGGGCAAGCCCCTGTCTCCGCCATCACAGCAGCACAGGTACGGTGCATAGAGGTCGGATCCGCTTGAAGCCGGTTGCTCAGTCCATGTTCTGTGCACAAGTGCTTCTTGCTAGTGTCTCAGAGCCTGCTGCAAAAACCACCGGGCTGACGGCCGCTATACCTGCTTTAGCCCTTTGCGTATCCCGTCCAATCAAAGCCTCGCTGCATACCTTGACAGCCGTCCCTCCTCGCTGTATTTACCTCAAGTCCACGTCCATTAGTGAAACTCGAGTTGTAGCGAGTGGCGTACGCAGGACACAGCCAGTATGCTGCCAGGGTGAGCCCACCGAGTGTCCTGCTGAAAACCTGGCTTTGCCAGTTGGAGCGCTTATACAGTCAGCCTCGCAGGTGCACTAGGAGTTCCATGCAAACATGTGCCCTGGTCACCAGCAAGGCTTTTCAAGGCTTATGCAGGTGGTGTCCACAGCTTGCTGGAACTCGCCTGGTCAGAGGCCGAGCCGATACCTTGATGAGGGTTTCCCTCAACCCGTCATTGATCGGCTCAGGTTCGAGGAGTCCTCGCCTGCTGCCCTTTTTCAGACAAGAGGTGCTTCGGCCATTGCACGCACCTGTCTGCGGCCCAGGTTTGAGGGTTTTCGCCTCCCAGCGTGAACGAGTCTCAAGAGATTGAGCTGCTTCCCCTCCAGGTCTAGCTTCGGTTTGGAGTAGGGAGCAGCTAAAGCCTCGACAAAAACCAAACCCGCCCCTCAGTGGGTTGAAAGACGGACGGAATCGACAGAGCGATCAAAAACCTCTTCCGCACATCAAGTGAGGAGGGCTTGTACCAGTCAGACTGCTGGGCCCGCATGCGTTCAGGATATAGCTTGGCCTGGTGTCTGGTATACTGGGACTTGACAACCGTTCAGGCTCTCCGCACTTTTCTTTATTGTGGCAAGTAGAGATGTTTGTTCGAGCAAAAAACGAGGGTGTAAGCCGCACTCCTGCGGCCCGGATGCTACCGCAGCAGGTTATACGCGCTGTCAGTCTCTTGCTCTTGCCCAGGTCCTCTGGCACATGCCAGACACGGCAGGCAGCCGGCTCAGACCCACCGAACACAGACTCCCCCATGCCCGACGTGCTGTTCCAGGTGAAGTGCCCGACAATCTCGCCAGTGATAGTAAATCCGTGCACTTTCGCGGCCGCGTTCCTATTGTGCTCAAGCGCCTCTGTCCTGGAAGTCTCCACTTGTCGCATGGACGCCAGCTTGCCCATTGCCAGACGAGCGATCCCCTCCCAGATAAGACGATGGGCACTCTCAGGTGATGAGCCTAGCCAACCAAATCCCGGACCTCCTGTAAACATCCCAAACAGACTTCAGGATGTGGCACGAGCAAACGTATGAAGCCCATCATTGCCACCAAGCCGAACCGCAGCTTCCCGGCACTGGAGCAGCAACGCAAGATGCGGCGCAGGCCTGCTGTGACTCTCGGCCGAGGCAGCGGTGGCCTCGATTGGGCTAGCCGTCCCGTTGGCATCTCGCAGCACACGTGGCCAAGTGGGGCTCTCTATCGATGCATTGCCAAGATCGGTAATTCAGATGGATTCTCAGCTGCCTGCATCTGGCCCAGACGTGCCGGCGGAGGGTTTCCACCAGGTCGCCGTGGATACTAAAAGTGCATGTGCACTTACAGCTGTCCTCTTCTATCAAACGCCAATCTCCTCTACTACTGCTACCTGGCTGTGTTCCGCGGCTGGCGAATCACGACCAAGGTAATGCCGGTGAATCCATGATCGCCAGCTCCACCTGGGCAACGCATTGGGAGGGTCGCTTTCCACTTAGCGTGCGCTGCCTTGCATCCTCCACTTGTCTGGGTCATAACACCTGATGCGCTCTGCCACTGTCCTGCACAGTTTCCGGCTCCAAGCGCTTCCAGGCTGAGAGTGCTCGCTTAGGAGCGCTATTGCCGTGTCACCAGCGGTGCGCGGAGCCTCCTGCTGAATCCGAGTTGAACCGGCAGCAAAAGAGGCAGCTGAGGCAGAAGGGGCGGGCGGGCGGGCAGATCGAACCGCGACTACACATCAGAGACCATAGACGACAGCCAGCCAGCGACGAACGACACCGGCCTTGATCTAGCACTGCCGGACACCACAGTCACTTATCCTGCCGACCCGTTTGGCCCGCCAACCATCGACGAGCAGAGATTTTAACGGGTCTGGAGATACCCTGAACCGGCAAAGCAGCCCCACCCCCAACCCAAGCACCGAAGCACCAAAAACGCAGCCCCGAAGAACACCAACGGGCCAGCTATCACCAACTCACTTCTTTATTGTCGTTGTGAGCCTCACTCATACATACATACATCCATATGCATGTATGCATGTATGATGTGCAGATAAGTAGGGCTGTGTATGTGTATGTAAATACAAACGCAAGCATGCATACTGTGTAATGTATGTATGTATGTATATATATATATATATATATATACGCATGCATATGTGTAGTATGTACACATGAAAACTCGTATTTGTGTGTACATGTTTACATGTGAATATGCCCATATGAGCATAGGCTTTGGGCGATAATGTGTATACGTGTACATGCGAAAATTGTGTATATGGCTAAAGATTATATGCCTATGCATATGTATATGTATGTGCACGTGTCGACGTACATGTATGTGCAGTCCTTGGACGGTGTTTTTGTCCGTAGTATTTCTCATGTATGAGCAGTCCCATGCAGTCCCCAAACAAAGCCGCCCACACTCCAAGCCTCAACCTTCAACAGAAAATTTGCAACATGCACGTTTCATTTTGGATTTGCTAGTTATGGTTTGGGGGAGTGCTGGAGATCCATGGTGCTGCTTGGATCCGGGTTGAAGCTGCTCAATGGAAGCTTCTCAGTTTGCACACACTGGTCACCAGGTCAAAGATGTGGTTCAGTTTTTTTGAAGATCTTCTACTACATCTTCTCAAATCAGCCGTAGCGAAACGTGCAGGTCAGGTTGCGAGTTCGCGCAATGTTTGTTTTTGGGCATTCCGGGTTGGGACCTGGCCAAACTGGGTTATAGGAGGTTGGTATATCAACACAGGGTGATGAGGCCGATGAGACGTTCTGGTTCGGGAGCACAAACACACACTTTGGACCCCTAACTTGCGTCAGATCCACCTGGACAAGCCGTCCGTGGCCTGTCGCCACCTCATTCGCGAGGACGCATTTGTCTTCAAGTTCGAGTTTTCAGTGGCTGTTTTGAGACATGCAAGTTACTAGCATCAATAGATGCAGACATTGCCACTTATATAAGCGATGGCGGCGGCTTCATCGGGCCGGACAGACAGCTCAGGATTTCGGTTTGCAGACAAGACAGTCCCGCGATTGCAGTTCCGGGGTTGTTCAGGCTTTCGCTGTTGTCAGCATTCGTGCGACGTGCAATTGCCAAGCCGAGAGGCTGCCGTGACAAACCAACACTCCAGGTCCCAAGTGTGGTTTTGGGTTTTCGGGGGTCAGTATTATTCAGTATGTGGTCTGCCGAGAAGTCCCCCTGCCGCAATTGTCGCGCGCTCTACCAGCTTTACTTGTGCTTGTCCCGTGGTTCATGGGTTGAACTTGACCAAAGCTCTCTTTCCAAACCCGTCCGTTCAGTTCTTGTTCGACAGGACTGCTTTTCTGCGTCGGCAATGCTCCGCTTAGGCGTCTGCCGGTTCAGGGTGATACATCTGCGGTATTGACAATTTTGAACTGTGTGTTTGTTCTGCGGCTTTGGAGTCAGGAATCGGGCCATGCTGGCCATTGGTCCCTGGGATTGAAACCGCAGTTACGCAGTTGCGGTATCCTGCGGTACACAGCTGAGTTTCGACCGGGACCAATCCTCACTGACTTCACAACGATGCGCTGCTCAAACAAGAGTGCGACTTTCTTTACCCGGGGGCTTCGACTAAGCCAACATCGAAGCACAATAATCGTGTCAAGAATCAGATGTCCGAAGATAAGATGTTCGAAGATGTTGCTTTTCGAAGATGGGCTACGAAAAGTTCTCAAGTCAACGCATGTCGAGATCCAATACCCTAACACGCGAAAGACTCCTTGTTCCAAAAGGTTTAATGAACGTTTTTGATTGGTCGTGAAGCAAGACGCAAAAGGTGAGAGTTCGATGGTGTTTTGGTTCTTGCATGTGGGCAGTGAAGTTCCAACGTTTGTTATTCATCGCTTGGAGCCAAGATGCAAAAACCAAGGGTTCTTCTGCATGTTATTTCTTGTATGTGGGTTCAGTGGCTCTGTAACATCAAGGGCACTGTTGTTTCACGGCCTCCTCAATCGAAGAGGCTGCAACTCCGGTTGAAAATGCATGTTCCTTCTAACTTCTAGCTGGTCGAGTGCTAAGATTGGGTAGTTGATCCTTGCAGAACAAACACTCGAGAATGAATTGTTTTTTTGCTGACACCACAGTTGCTCAAGGTGCTGTTCTGTAGATCCCTTAGTGGCAGAAATACCGACTCTCATGGCAGGAGACAGCGTGCCCATCCGTGCCCGTGTCTTTGCCGTGAAGAAGCTTTCAAGGCCCTTGTCAGCAGAGGTTTCTTTTTATTATGCTTCAGGGCTCGGGGTCTGGCGCCCTGTATCTGCAGAGTTTTGGAATCTTTTGGTCTTCCGTGTGTTAGGGGCGCACCTGCTGGGTCTGCTCTCCTCAACTTGGTATTCGTAGCTCAGAACAGCGGCAACTGCACGCATTGCTAGAAGTCTTGTCCAGTGCCACCAGATGTTCCACTTATTCAGCCTTCTTTGGTTGCTGGAGTCGTGTGCCTGCAGAACCTGTTGTGCCGGTCGGCGACGCCCAGCCAAGCCATGAAGCCTTCAAAGGCCATAGATATACCCGCGCAGTACACCTAGACTGACACTGAATATATCGGCCGAGCATGTTTCCCGGAACTTGAGCAAGGCCCATGCCGGATCAAATCCAAGCCCAAGTCCCCGACATCCCCGCTTCTCCCGACAGATTTGTCACCATTCTGGGTCTGGAACTGGCTTCGGGCAGGGACTTGGATGTTGAGTGCCTCTCCAATCCTCCAAGATCCTCCAAGCCACGCACAGGTGGCTCCGATGGCCTCAAGCGACGAAAAAGGCATCGAGCTTGTACTTCGACTTCGCGGGTTTGCACTTTGCAGGTGAGGCTTTCTTTCCCTTTGAGCCGTATCAAGAAGGATTACAAGGCTTGGTCCTTCCAATACTGGTGTGTGTGAGTTCAGTAGACCAATCATTTTAAGGAGCGACAAGACAGACGATGCATAATGTGTACCTGCACTGCGGAACCTTCAACCCGAATAGCTTGTAGACATTAAACCCTTTGCCAACAAACAAGCAGGACCTTGTGCCTGTGCCCACGGCTCTTGCTGGCCTCCTCTTCGCGCTGCAGTCCGAGCCAGAGGCCTCCGGCCGCTTCTGGCTGGGCAATTGTTTTTTTGTTGGCATTTTTGGAATGGTCTCCTGTGTAGCAATGCACCCACACGATGCACCCACCCGTACACGCACACTACGCACCCACACAGGCACCCACCCAACGCACGCACCCACGCACCTACCGACGCACCCACACTCTGCGCCCACCCGTACACCCACACTACGCACCCACCCACTCGCCCACCCAACGCACCCCACCTATTATGCACCCACATATACACCCACACTACGCACCCACAATACTATGCACACACTCACACCCCCACTACGCACGCACACTATGCACCCACCCACGCACCCACCCAACGCACGCACCCACGCACCGACACGCACCCACCCAACGCACCCACCTATTCTGCACCGACCTATACACCCACACTGCCACCCCCACCCACCCCACACCCCCACACCTACGCCCCCACACCCCCCCACAACCCCACACCTGCACAACCCCACCCCCACACCCCCACACCCCCACACCCCCAGACCGCCAGACCCCCAGACCCACACCCCCACACCCCCACACCCCCCACACACCCACGTCTTGCATCTGTCTCAGCTGCGTCGGCACTTAATCCTCATGTTCGGGTAGCAACGTGTCGCATCCCGTTTTGCAACCTTCCCATGTTTAACCTTCTGCTGGGGATGTTCAACGCAAGGTGGCTTGGGCAGCTCAGTGCGCGCTGTTTCACATAGTGCGGGCCTTAACCGGTGGGGCTGGTCAGTTGAGGTCGCCGCGGTAGTGGTTTTAGACTTTGTGTTTCGGGTTCAGATCGGGATGGCAGTCAGGACGTCTTGTGCGAGCTTGAGCAGTCGCTTTTGCTTCAAGTTGAAGTCCCGCCGTGCATTCCTATTCCTAGTCTAAAACATGTAGATCTAAGCTATTCAGCATGCAGGACGACATGACCATGCTCATGTGCCAGCAGGTTCGCATCAAGGATTCCTCAAGTTCTGGGAGGGAAAGTTCACGTGCCAAATTTTCTATATTTTATACAAATTCATGGCCCGCATCGTATGTCGCGCCATCAGTGCTCCATCGGACAAACAAAAAAAAACTGGACCAGTGTTCTTTTGTCGGCTCAATGCGCAGCACAAGACGCCCTGCGCTGCCCGATCCTATAATCTGCATGGCGCTGGCTTGTGGTTCTCCCCCTGTCGATGTAGACGGTATATAGTAGTGTCACAGGCACAGGCCGCGAACTTGGATCAGACTTGGCCTATCGTGCGGTATCGTGTGGTACTGCCCATAAAACTCGGCAATGCTTTGTGCACTGCTGCCAGCATGGAGCCGTCGCCGGCGCTGGAGCATTTTGCCACCCTCCGCCAGCCCCTTGCTCTACAGCAAGAAGTACGCTCACTTTCTTAAGCACGGGCCCGACATGCCCCGGCCATCCACCTCACCAAGTGCCTTTTGCTGGGTATCAGGCGTCTACGACAAGCCTACCAAGCTCGCCTGGACGCTTGGATACGACTTTGCCGCATGGCTATCCCTCCGACCTTGGAGGGCGAAGCTTAAGCTGCTCTGCACCCGCTTTGGCAGGACGCGGTGTAGTCACCGCGCACCTGGTTGGCAACTCCGCCCGGGCAGTCGCTCGAGCTCCCCTGCGTCCACCTGCCGCTTTGGCCAGACTCCGAGCTGTGGGTCCGTGTGGCCGCTTAGCCGATGCTGCTTTGTTGGCGGCTCCAAGACTCTGCTCCTGCCTGGGGCGACCCTCAACTGCCCACGTGGCATGCTGCCGTCGCTGGCCTGCCCGCAGGCCAACGTCCAACTTTCATTTTGTTGCTGGACCTGCGGTGGTGCTGCCTGGCCATCTGCCGACAGGAACCCCTCTCCATGCCCATTTTGCAAGGCTTCTGTTGGTGTTCCTTGTGGAACTGCATTCTGCATTCTCGCACGCAATGCCGCTGGAACTACGGCGCTCACCCAGCTTATCTCCGTCCAGACGCGGCTTCCCTCTGCCCTGACTGCTGGCTCATGTGGGCCTGCAGCTTGCAAGCTTGCCCATTGCGTCGTCGTCCTCCGCCCCTCGCGGGCGATCTCCTACAGCACTTCCGGCTTGTTGCCGACTCCTGCCAAGGCAGAGCTGGCTCCCAGGCAGCTCTCTCATCCGTGCTGCGGCTTGAGCATGTTCGGCGGTGGCTGCTGGCACGCATCCGCCAATGTAGTGGCGCAGATCTCGGCAGCTTGCAACATGACCTGGCCGCCCGCTGCCCGGCTGCTTCGCCGGAAGGTATCTTGCAACGCTTGGTCCTCCTAGCCTCGCAAGCGCTCCGCGCAGAGGGCCTCGCACTTGCAACGAGACTTCCTTGTGCCGCTCCCGGTGTAAAAAGAGTGCCCTCGCCTTTGTTCTGCATGCTTTATGTCCTTCGGCCGCTCCTGCCCTTTGTTTTTGTCACGCTCGCGACCGCTTTCTCGTCTTTCCCCTTCTCCAGTCCTCTTCTGGCCCAAGCCCCCTTTTCCGGGCTGTAAATCCATACTTGGCCCACTTCCGGCGGGTTTCAAGTTCCCCCTTTCTTGCGGGGCCAGTCAGGGCCGGCCTCTGTCGTAGATTCACGTGCAGTTGACCCCAGCTGGCGCAGGAGCGCCTCCTCCACAGCCTTCGTATCCATCCTAAGTCTATAGTCTATAGGACTCTAGACTCTAAATCAAGCCCTCTCTGGAACCTCCCGTGGAGGGGGCCGATGACATTTACGGAGGCCCCCCGAGATGCTGGGCGGGGAAGAGTGGGGGAGGCCGCGGCTACTGCTGCAGGTCGAACCCTCCTTTTGTGTTTCATTCGACTTGCTTTCGCTATTGGCTCGGTTTTTTCCCAGCGGGTGGCGAACGTGAGTGAGTAAGTCCCGGGCCGCTCAAGGCACAGAAATTGTTCGGTTCCTCTCCCGCAGCGCAAAAAATCATACCAAAAAATGATTGCAGAGCAAGCACCTAGCGAAGGCCACACAGCAAAAAGCAATCAGGGCTCCCCAGTTCAGATGTCCAGCAGCTCGCTAAGCTGATTGGCCATCGTTCGCGTGCCCCGAAACGACCTCAAGCCTTAAAGCGCTGCCGCCCCAAGTCCCGATCCCCAGCACAAAATCCCCGGTGCCCAGCAAAGCGCGCTTTTTTCCTGGGGCTTGCGAAATGAAATGTTGGAAGCTGGCCTCTAGACCCTTTGGTCGAAGCTACGTAACCACAAAGCCTGTAAAGCTTGAATCTTCAGATTCATTGCATATGGCACATAATGCCCGCATCTGTACTCCAAACCAAGAGCCGAAAGAGAAACGGCGCTTCGGATGCAGGTTCGATGCACTGTAGACCAGATCCAGAACGTCAGGGATGCCACTCGAGGCTGCAGGGGCCTGCTCAAGCTGCAGTGTGCGAGAGAGAGGTTGTCAGGTAAAGGCTAGTAAACGGTTCAGAATGGTGTGGGGGTTGAGGTCTCCTGGGCTGTAGAGTTGTTTTAACCCAGCCTTTGCCATTGAAGAGATACCCAGGGACCACGTTCCTCTTAATGCGTTATTGTCCAGCTCCTCTGTCCCGCCTGTGCCAATACTTTATCAGATCGGTATTCAGAGACGCACCAACATAAATTTTAGCTAAGCTGCAAATGGCAAACTGTTCAAGAAATCTACGTTCCGGTTGCTGAACCCAATGGGTAACATAGTCGACTGACGTTGAGCGCAGCTTCTCACCTCTCACTCGAGATGTGGGATTCGTCGCAAAAGTTTTTGGGGCGTTGGGCACAGAGCTCCGAATTCCGTGGTTTCCATGAGATGCCGTAAGTCCTGAGGCAAAGTCACTCGTTTGCTTCTCGACGGCAACACGCTCGGGAGCCCAGCGAAACTGGAGGACTCGGGCTTCGGGTGGTCGATCTCCGGATCCAGGCTTCGCAGCTGTCTGTGGGCCCCCCTCCGTCGCGCGATTCCTTCGCACACTTCCCGAAAAGGAAGCGACTTTCCGATGCGGTGGTTCGGATATTTCATTTGGGTTTCGTGTTTCAGTTTCATTCAGTCAGAGTCATCATCGAATTCAACTTTTACGCAGCTTGTGACCAACTATGACCAACTTGTCTCAGATCCCTCACGCCGCGTGCTTCGACTTGATGAAAGACCATTGAAACGGAGTGTAATGTGCAGCCCGATGAGCCTCCAGTGCTTCAGTGAAGTGAGTTTCGAGGAAGGACTTGACTCACTGGAAGCTTGGATTCCGAGCAGCTGTCGGAGATGGGGGGCTGACATTCTGAGTGCAGCACCCCCAGATCCCCAGAAGGCTTATCTTTTGAGCCAGACTTGCGAGTTTCGAATTAATCATCACCGACAGCTCGAGGCTTCTGCTACATACTCCAACCTTCAAGCCCCGCATGCAGACTTAGCATGCCATGCATCCTTTTTTTTGGGGCTCTATGGCCAAGTGATTTATAATCACACCAGATTCTGGCAAAGGCAGTTCCCATTCTGCTTGCCGGAGCTGACGGAGCGGGCAGCAGAGGCGACAAAACCCGCGCACACTTTTCCGTTGCATCGCTTTGAGAAGGTTAGGTGTCTCTTCTGCCATTTTCGGTTTTGACGTTGTCCGTATTGGATTAACTCGGGTCATGACTCAGAGTCAGTGGTACTGTGGCACGGGGTCGAAGTTTGGTTTTCCAGAGTTAGCCACTGACGACAAAGAATGTTGAATTTACATGCACAGTTCCTGGTATCCCTACTACTACCTCATTGTTGGTCATGGTAGAGTAGGTGCGAAGGAAAAGCTTTGCTCCTAAGTCTTAGTGTGCTCCGAAACTCGGTCGAAGTTCCAATGACTTGCAGTGTACATGGAGTCAGCCAGTCGATTGGCAGGCCTACGAGCAGGCCCTGCGGAACTACACCGCCAGAGGCCAAGTATCAAGCTTCGCAATTACTGAGCATGCATGGGAACGAGCCGCCGTGGCACATGCGACCAGACTCGAGCTCGCACCAAAGTTGCACCGGAAGCCCTGCGGTTGATTTCCTCGTTGTCTTTCTTTGTGGGAAGAGCACGACCATTCAACAACCCTTCAAAGCAGCATATCTGCCCCTAGGCAAATCAATGTCAACCCCAAGCCCACTAAGTCGGCAGGCCGAACGACAGCTTGTGTTTGAGTCAGTTCAGACACTTGAACCATCCAGTCATTTTTGTCGCCAGCCGGACGCATTCAAGGAAGTAAGTTTCTCAAGTCAGAGCCCCGACCGTCTTGCCATTGACTTACCTGAAGCAGTTAAACCACAGGTTCGCTACTTCTTCACGCAGTTGCAGGCATTGACACTTATCGTTACCTGCCAGCAAATGTCCGAGCGATGTAATTCTGGAGCGAGATTGTCAGAATGTTCCCAGGGGTGCAGTTGTTCAGCAAGGGTTCTCAGAAAAGAACCTGTACATGTCATGACCGCATCCTTTGCTGGCCAACATTGGCAGACGAGGGACATTACCAGACTGACCTGATCACCGTTCCATGTCGTCATTTCTAACTCGGAATCAAGGGGCTTCTGTGTTCATAAGGTAATCGTGCGTGATATCTATCTTCTCTCGTGGGGCCTGGAAGCACATCCCATTCAAAAGGCAAAGTGCTCAGTTGAAGAATCTCGAAGATCCTCCATGTAAAGTTAATCTGATTATGTAGATGAAAAGCAACCGCCAATGACTTTGGCTCAAGCATGAAAAAGGACGACGCTGAGCCTCGTTCTTGCGTTCAGGGTCGGGTTTCCTTTTGTGGTTTCCCTTCCTTTCCTCCTCGTTCTTACCCTTACATAGCGTTGTCTCTGTTTGGGGTCAGAATAACTGGGTATCAGCCGTATTTGCTTAGCCGTTACACTTCTTTAGGTAAAGTAGTGTTTCTGCGTGCTTGGCGATGGATGTGAATCCGGATAGGGATCCGGAGCGTTTGCCACGGCCTCCTCCTAAGGAGCAGAAGCGAGGCTCTCGTGCAGGACGGAGTGCTGGCAGGAAACGTGAGGCGTGGCAGCGCTTTGTGTTTGCGGAGTCGGAAGCAAGCAACCCCGGCCTTTATCTTACCTACTTGGATATTCCATTCCACAGGCCGGACGGAAGTGTTCGTGCGTTTGGTGTGCAGGCGCCGAGAAGCAATCCGTTTCCGGAGGATACCGCTCCAGAAACACCTCCTCCAGAAGCTGCAGAGATTTCAGAAGTCCCGGCTGTTCCTATTGCTTCCTCGTTTACACCTGCAGGAGCAAGGCTAGCTCCCACTCCTAAGGTCAGAGCCAAGCTTTCGGAGCCGGTGAGTGGTCAGCAGCTGATTCCTCGAGCAACAGGGGCGATTCCGAGCTTCAGTCGGTTAGCTTCAGGAAAGCCGGCGCCACCTTCGCCGCCGAAGCCGTCGTCAAGGCAATCAGCTGTTCCTGGCCCAAAGACTCCACCCAAGGATCCGGCTCCAGTGATTTCTTCTTCTGTTGCAGCTCCTACAACTCCCCCGAAGGCTCGAGCGGTTCCTAAGAAGGCCCGACCTCAGGCCCCGAGTGTTGAAGCAGCAGCAGGGCCTCCGGCTTCTTCCTCTTCGACCTGGGGAACAGAGGTAGAGATTGTGGACCCGGACACGTGCTGCCTGGTATAGGCCTTACCCGCCAATCTGTGGCGCGTCATCATTACGTGGTGAGTCTGTGTTTTCATAACGTCCTCGACCTCGATCGCAGAGGACAGCACGTAAATTGGCATCAAGATTATCCTACTTGCCCCGGAGGAAGTCCAAAGGTATTTGAGCCGTCTGACGAAATTTCTTTCTCAGACCAACGGCTTGTGTATCGTGACGAGCTACTGCCACGCAGCTGGCACTAAGCGTCACGTGATCAGGACAGTCGCGAACACTGTCGAGAGCCTCAGCGGGGAATTGGGTGCCAATTGCTTCGCTTTCATTGTGCTAACTCGACATCCGACTCGTCGTGGTGGCAAGGGCGATATCCTGGAACGTATCGGAGCACCTCCTCCCAATCTTCCGGCCAAGTGGAGGCTTCCCATTCTTCATTGTGACGATAGCTCAGAAATGATCGATTCGCTATCTGGGCTGGAGAAGATTGAGGGAGTGTTTATCCGTTCCTTGTGGAAGCGTCCTCACAGGAGGCCTTCCCCGCCTGTCGCTCCGTGTGCATCGTTTGATTTTGTTGCGGATACCTACGATCACATTCACAACTGGGTCATTCGGAACTACCCCGACTCCTTTGACTACGACCAGATTGCGTAGTCGAGAGTCCGTGTGCCTTTTCAATCCCAGAGTTAGTTTGGCTGCTTCTAGCGCCTCCACAGACGGGTTTACAGGGTCTTGCCTGGGTTCGTAAGGCTGCTACGGCGCCACGGCCTGAACTGCGTCACCGCATGTCGTGCCTCGCACTTCGAGCAAAAAGGTGCTCGGTACCCTGCCCTGCAATCATGTCACACTCTCAATCAACCCCAACTGATCCAAGCTCGCTGCTTGACATCTCAAGTGCTTCGGCAGCTGCGGTTCCAGGTATGAGGGATTCCTCCTGTGCCTCTGGGGGTTCCGAGAGTACTTCAGCTTTAGCTGAGCGTGAACGCTCCCCTCTTGCCAACAGCAGAGTTGGGCCCGAACTCCCCGGAAAGCTTCAACTCCTTACCCAGCTAGCAGTGTTCCCATCGATGGTCCCAGTGTTCCTACCGTTGAACACAACCAAATGCTTAGCATAGGAGCAACACCTCAGCAAGTCCTCGCCGCTCAGCAATTCGCTGCTGGTGAAGCTGCCAATTGAGTCGCCACCCAGGCGGAGCTGCTACATCAGGCTTCTATCAATGAGGTACAAGGCCAAGTCAGGCACGTGCTAAATGAAGCAGGGTCTGCGGTTGATCAGCTTCGGGAGCAAATTAGGCTTTCGGAGATCAGATGTGGGGAATTGTTTGAGTATGGCCAGTTCGTTGAACGCCAACTTTCGGAGGCAAAGGCAGATTTGACTTTTCAGCTCAACCAAACCCGTGTAGAGTGTCAGAGGCTTCTTCGGCTGCTCCATGCGCCACGAACTCTGGATCTCCCCCAAAACCTCCGAAAGCTCACGCTCCACCCGCTGGTACCGGATCTGGTGTTAGTGAAGCATCTTGGACTCACCTCGAAGCTTCTGATCCTCCAACCGAACGCCTGCTGTACTCGGGTACCTTTGTTCCTCCGCCCGTACCTTCATGTCCAACCTACGTCACCTGTGTCAGACCCTCGCGTGGACCAACTGATTGAGGTAGTTCAACAGTTAGTTCAACAGGTCGGTCAAAATGCTACGGGTACTGCTGAGACTAATGAAGATGATGAAGTTGAAGAGCAAGAAGCTATCAAAGAGTTTCGGGAAAAGGACATTGTCGATCAAAGGGCTCTCCTGCATCTCAAGCTTGAACCTGTTCCTTCAGATGCGGCAAGTTTCCGAACTTGGAAGAATGGTTTCAGAGTTCAGTTGTCTAAGCTTGACACTTCAGGTCAAGGTCTTGTGCTGGCTTGGGTTTCTAGAGGTTTCGATGCTGAGAGAGCCGACTTGCAAGGTTCGGAGCTCCTCCCTTGTCTTGATGCATGGATAGCTGGTGAGCTGTCGTCAGGGCGCGTGCTGAAGCAATCCTCCGAACTTGAGCAAGATATCACTGCTTACATTGAAAAGTGTAGTCAGCTTGGACAGTCGCCCACAGGTCGAGTGATGCTTTCTATCATCACAAGGCATTACGATTTAGATCGGGTAAGAGGTTCTGTTCTGACTGCATCAACACTGTTTCAGATCGAGCTTGGCGGAAGTTCCATAAAGGACTTAAGGGACTTTGTGAATCGTATTCGCCTTGTTCTCAGTGCAATTCCGGTCGCGCAACGACCTGATGATCGCCTCACCGGAGAATGGCTCTTCCATCGGGTGAAGCACATTCGCAAGCTCGAGCGCGTTATTGAGGATATCAGGGAGCCCGGGGCAGCTTCGTATAGACGTGAGTGGTTTTACTTGTGGGACAAGATTCAGGATCTGAGTGTTCGGGATCGTGAAGATTCTAATGAATTCTAATGCGCAATCTGTGTTGAAGTCATTGCAGTCGGCCACACCCGCTCCCAAAACGAAAGCTGTTCCTGCTGTAGACGGAGGGACTGGGGAGACGAAGCTGCCTCCTCCTCCTCCTCCTCCTCCTCCTCCTCCTCCTCCTCCTCCTCCTCCTGCACCTGGTGCCCCAGCGCCCAAAGCAAATGCAAAAGTGAAATCAAAGGCTCAGGTTAAGGTGAAGGCTATGACTGATGCAGAGAAAGCCAAGACTCCTTGCATTTTCTTCCAGATGCCGTCGGGTTGCATACATGGGGATAATTGTAAGTTCAGTCACAAAGCTGTTGCGCCGAGCCAAACGCTAAAGCCAAGGATGGAGTCAAGAGCAAACCTGGAGCAGTAGCAAAGGCTGTCGTTGCGCTTGTTGCTGCCTCTAGCTTGTGTACTCCCGTCATCTCTGCTGGTCCGTCCTATGCTGTCGAATGGGCTGCTGACACAGCAGCAGGTCGTCACTTAGGTTCGGCTAAAGCTTTGTTTGACCAAGGGATTCCTCGTGACGCCTTTGACCGCTTCTTAGGTGCGTCTAGGTCTCCTGTGACTTTTCACACCGGCGGTGGTCCCCAACCTGGTGTGCAGACCCTTGGCTTCGAGTCTGACAACATGGATTTCGTGAATCATTACATGTTGGACAGTTGCCCATTGGTCAGAAGCACAGGGATTGATGTTGATTCTGGGAAAGCCTTCATCTGGCTACCCGGCAGTTTACCTTTCTTCGTCAGCGATGTTTCGCAACTCGTTGTTCAATGCCCTGAACAGTTTCGACATTATGCAACTCGCGTAGAAGAGCATGTTCCGATTTTCACCAGTCAGGTGAGGTTTACTCACGGGGCACCGAACCCTGTAAGTGACCTTTCAGGGGGGTTTGAGAGCGAGGGTCCGGCTGCTGCCCCAAGCGCCATCCGATGCACAGAGAACCATCCTGCTGAAATCAGAGCCCGGCAAATCTTGAGTTCTGGCGGCAACATCAGCTGCCGTGCGGTTCGCAACTTGTTTGGTCTTGTTGATAAGGAACCTGCCGCTAGAGGTGATCACGGGGAATCGTTTTCGACTGGACTTTATCGGTTGGGTGGAGCTCTTGGACTTCGGACTTCAGCCCATCAGTTTCCCTTGGTTACCAAAGCTCTCAACAAGTTTGCATGTTCGAGGCTTCCTGGCTTTGGATACACACCCCTTTGCATTTTCAGCAATGTTACAACAGGTCCCCACAAAGATTTCCACAACGCCAATCTTGACAATGCCGTCATCTCTTTGGGTGGGTTTTCAGGAGGAGGCGTATGGATTGAAGATTCAGGGGGGGACAATTCCATGTCCTGGTGATCCTGCCAAGCTTGGCAAGGTTCTTAGTTTCAGAACGGCATTATCCGGTTCAGAGCTAAGAGCTTCATTCATGCCACTATGGCATGGAAAGGCGATCGTGTTGTGGTAGTATTGTTCTCTGCAAAGCATCCTTCTGAGGTCAAAGAATCGCACTGTGAAGAGCTCCGTGCTCTCGGCTTCCCGATCGACTCTTGTGAAGAGCCACTGCCGGCTTTTGCTGCTGAGGCTCCCGAGGGTTCGGCTGCCGATGCGCCACCCGAAGGGCCTGATGCTGATGCCTCTGCTGAAGGTGCGGGTGAAGTTGCACAGGATGATGGAGCAGAGGATAAAGTTCCAGAAAGAATTCGGAAACTTAGGGATCAAGCAATGTCGCTTGAGCATAGGCTGTTCCACTTCCCGAAGAATCCTTTCTGTGATATCTGCAATCAAGCTCGCATGCTTTCAAGGCGTGTGCACAGAAAGCCTCGTGATTCTGAAGAAGAACCCGATCCTTTTGAAGCTTCAGAGTTCGGAGAAGTCATCGCCGCTGATCACATTCACGTGTTTAGATCGCCGGACGACTCCGATGTTGCGGATAAGTCCTATGTTGTGCTGTGCTTGAGGGATAAGTACACTGGTCTGTTCGCAGCATACCCTGGGAATGATCGTTCAACCAGCGCCGTTGTGTCTGCGTTGAGAAAGTTTGTTGGACGTAGAACTTGCTCTAAACCTGTGACTTTGGTGTCTGATGCAGCAGACGAGTTCGAGGCCGCAGCGGAAGAAATGGGATGGATCTCTTCACCCTCCTTGCCTAGTCGTTTTCCCCACAACGCTCAACTTGAGCGGGCAATCAGGACCTTCCAAGAGGGCGTGAGATCATCGTTCCTTGAAGCCGGGTTTTCGATCCGTCCTGAGTTGTGGCCCGTTGCCTGTCGCTATGGTGCCACTGCCTTGAACCTGACTTTGCGTTCACCGCAGGATGAATCGCTCAGTAGATGGGACTTCAACATTGAGGATTCAGGCAGAGATGAAGTTTGCGTTAGAAAGCTGATTCTCGGCCAGCTTGTGTTTTACAGACATACGCAAGAAAGCAAGTTCGGCCCAAAGGCTGCTGCGAGATTGTTCGCTGGACGGCGATTGGAACCAGGTGGCATTTATCGTGCTGTGACCCTTGTGCTTGATCTTGAAAAGCTTCGTTCCAAGATTGGTGCTTGGACTGAGCCAATCAGTGTTCCGGAATCTGATTCGTAGAGTTTCGTTCAAAGGTTGCGCTCTAGGTATGGTTTCAACGTCCGGAGCTCCGTTTGACGCCCCGTGGCAGATCATAACTTCGAGCAAGAGTATGACCGAGAACTTCAAACCTTTCAGGTGCACTCATGCTCCGAATGTCAAGCATTGCTCACCGAGTTTGCTTTGGCCGCGGGTAGCTTACTATCCTGAGGCATTCTACAAGGTGCTGCTCATGTGCACGATGGCTTTTGGCGCTCCCTCTCGAAGGAGGTTGAGCTCGAGCCGTGTGCAGCCCTGTCCAGGGTCCTTGGAAGATGCCACAGATTCGTTTGCTGGCAAGAAAAGAAAGCACTAGCACTTGAATCCGCGGATTTCGCGAAACAGTGCGTCCAATTGTACGAGACAGTGTGTTCGCTAACGGTTAAACCCCAGCTTACTCCCCATCTCGACGTCAGCACCCTACCTGCAGCGGACGACGATTGCCGCGGCCAACTCACCGAAGCCGCAGCAAGAATCTTGATGAAGGTGTTATGGCTGGCAAGGTTAAGTCGTCCTGACTTGATCGTTGCAGTCACAACACTAGTTTCACACGTCTGCAGCTGGTCTAGGAATGATGACCGTCGGGTTCATCGACTGATCGGTTACATTCTACATTCTGTGGATTAGGCGATGATCTTGTGTATCAATGATCCTCCTTCCGAGTTGCGATTGTCCCTGTATTGTGACTCGGATTTTGCTGGTTGCATAGACACCTCCCGTTCCACGAGCGGCTATGTCTTGGCAGTTGAAGGCCCCTCCAGCTTTGCCTTGCTGTCGTGGTCGAGCAAGCGCCAGAAGGTTGTATCACGGTCTAGTACCGAGGCCGAGTTTGTCTCGTTGAGCGGGGCTCTCTTTTCTGACGCTGTTCCGATGCTAGAAGTATGGGAATCCTTGATCCCAGAAATCAAGCTCCACGTCTATGAGGATAACCAGGCGTGCATCGCCATTGTCCGTAAAGGATTTTCGGCCAAGCTCCGGCATCTGGCCAAAACTCACCGTGTTAAAGTAGCCGCTACTTGCGAGCTAGTTAACCTCAACCCCAACATCTTGCTTTCTTACATCAACACGGACAGTCAGAGAGGGGATCCTCTAACAAAGATCCTACCTCTGCAAGAATGGGCACGGGCTCTCGGACTCCTTTCGATTGCCACCGTTCGCCTTCCCGACATGGACTGAGCAAATCAGGATATTAGGGTTTCGTAGTCGGTTGAGCTGTACTGCGACCAGCACTTCATCAAACGTTGTGTACTTGAGTGGTTCGAGAAGCTGAGCTTCTCTTCACCTGGGCATTTTGCTGAGCATTGCGCCTGAAGATGTCGTGACGACTTCTTCATCAGTGTGTTTCTCTCTCTGTTAGGCAGCTTATGCGCCACGGGATGAGGAGCACACGGGGAATCAACGGTAGGTCAGAGCCATTGCTTCCTCGAGTTCAAATTAATCTGGAGACTGATCACCTCCATCATTCATTGTATAGTCTGTCAAGCTTCTACAAATCAGAAGGGGGGAGTTGAAGAATTTCGGAGATCCTCCATGTAAAGTTAATCTGATTATAGAGATGAAAAGCAACCGCCAATGACTTTGGCTCAAGCATGAAAAAGGACGACGCTGAGCCTCGTTCTTGCGTTCAGGGTCGGGTTTCCTTTTGTGGTTTCCCTTCCCTTCCTCCTCGTTCTTACCCTTACATAGCGTTGTCTCTGTTTGGGGTCAGAATAATTTGCTCCACCCAATTGCTATTGCTAGCCGAGAGGGATGCAAACCGAGGACTTCGGGTCAAGGCCTACACAGGTGTTCAAAACCCACCCGGACCAAGGACCTTGAAGCCTGGAGCCTTAGACTGTAAAGGGTTGAGTGAAGGCGCTTGGTGAGGAGTTCTTGAATCAAAAGCATCGCGACAGCAGCCTGGACTCATACTAAGGTTTCCAGGCAGCAATAAACCCAGTAGCCCTTCTCCCTCGGATCAACGCATCCTCGGTGTGTTTTCGCTCCCTGACCAACATCATCCCGCCCTCGCTTAACCCAAACCGTCTCACCACGTCATCTTCTACACCGATACAAACGCTAGACGTCCCCGCCAGGCCGAGAACACCTGGTGAATACGCTTTCAAACCCCAACCCTTTCATTGTACGACCCAAAGGATCCCGGCTATGGGGACAGCTGGGAGACGTACGACCTGCCCCTGACTTTCCCGCGTGTTTGGGTTTTAGTTGCATTCTGTGTATATGTGTTTCAGGGTGTGCAGTACGGAATTTTGGAAGATTGCTCCGTGCTTGCACTTTGCATCGACACCTCCATCACCTGCTGATTTGAGCGCTTGTGCCGACACCAACTTGCAGCAGCCTCCAGATTGGGTTCTGCGGCAGCAGGTGTGCGGAATCCCCTGGTATTGGTTTGCTTATGCTGTTTACACATCAACGATGGCGAACTAACACCTGGAAACTACCGGGTGGGATTTCGTCGATGGCTTCATTGCACATGAGAGTACAGAAAAAGCGACTCATGGAACCATGTCTTCCGCACATGTTTTCTCTTCACGATTTGTTCCAGCTACGAAGGACTTTCGGAAACATCACTCGCACTGCACTTGACAGGCAAACAGCCTAGGAGTGTTCTGGCTAGTTGACAGCGTTCAGCCTTACACTCGCCACCTGACATGACACTCGAGACCATGAGCCAGAAGCCTCGCCGTAACAGTGATTTCATTGTTTCGTGAGCCTTGCAATGTGTGAAATCAGCTCGGCACAGATTGTGTTTCACGGCGCTTGCGATTTCAACAAGGGAAGGGTTGTGAGAAACAAGTTGTAGAGACTGGCGCATGGCTGTTGTGCGCCTCAGCATGAAAGGGTTTTAGTTCAACTGAGACCCAGAAGCTTCTCGACATAGTAATGCATCTACATGTACATGGCTGCATGTACACATGGACATGCATGATTTTTTCTCTGTATTATATCTGTTTGCTGTCTTTGTTCATTTATTTTATGTCCTTTCTTTGCGCATGTGTACATCAAAAACGGAACATTGCTACGCCTGGAATATCTGGGCACCACGAGCAAAGCAACCAAACCACGAAACAGTCTCTCCCCCCCCCCCCCCCCCCCCACGAGGCCTGCATTGTGTAAAGCTTTCTTAGTTTTCGTTTCTTCACACCCCGCGAGAAACATGCCATACAGAAGAAACCATCGTCTCCTTCTGCCCACCTTCCCCCATGCCCAACGTGTCTTTTTTGATAAAAATGTTTCTCTGGACTTCCAGAGTGTGCAGTGCAGTGTTTCCTCTCTGTTAAGTAAACGTATATTTAAACATATACAATACAATTCCATATGCTTGGACAGATACATTCATGCGCACATACCCACCGACCACGGGTACTGCGATCCCTGGTACTTGCAACCCCCAAACCGGAAGTTTTCAGAGCCTGTAGGGTATGCTCTTAAACTCAAAGCCTCTGCCAGGCTCGGTGGCTTTGCGAAGCAGTTGGGTAGAAGCCTTCATAGCCGGAATCCCAGACTCTCAAGTATTCTGTTGTTGGTTTGTGTTGCCAGAGTTCCTGATTGATGCTGGAGGTCGCCTTTATGATCAGCAGACCTGTAAACACGTTGTCAAGGCTTCAAGAATGCAGCCTGAATTCTGGATGCTACTGGACGGTAAGCCTGAAGCCGTGAGGCAGAGAGGCCAACAGGTTAAACCGATACGTTCAGGTTTTTTCAAGGTTGAAATCCGATCTCCGGGAAAGCTGCTTTTGATTATTTTCTCCAGGTTCTGGCTCTGTATCTCAGGGAGAGATGAAGAACGAGCGACACTGCAGCACATGCACAGTTGTTTCCTCATTCGCATCGGGGTGACGTGACAGGCGGTCACGATGATGTGCTTTCGGGCTGCGTGTTTCGACCGTCCTGCATGCATCTGCAGTCGGAAGATCACATTGTTTCGGCTGCAAGTTCTTTCCACTTTCTGTTGTCCGTGACGCGTGCTTCCAGCTTCACTCCTCGCTGCGTTCGGGATTCATCGATCAGGGATTCTGTTCAGTGATTTCAGGCATTCACCTGAGGCTCGTATTTTGACGTGGTTTCGGTGTTTTCAAGAGGTTGTGTTCAACCCTGTCGGGAGAGCTCAACGAAGCTTCGCGGGATTCAGGTTGCTGGAGTTTTTCTGTTGGCATCGCAACATGTACTTGATTTCAGTTCGGCTGCGCCTGAGTGGTTTGGACAACATAGCCATGACTGCGGCAAGGAAATTAAAGCAGGCATTTGAGGGAACTGGGTCTGGGCCCCTCGGCACAGCGAACCTGATGACAGTCAGAAGCCATCCTGACTTTCAATTCCTTCAGTCGGCCCTCAGGCTTGCAGAGTCTCAAGGCCGGGCCCTCATCATGGGAGGCTGCATCCTCGCAGCTTCGCGGATTTGGTGGCTCAGGGAGAGTGAGGTGTTCAGGTCTGCCTTTTAGGCTTAAGGGTTTACCTTGTGTACAGAAGGTTGTTATGCCTCGATTGCTTGCAGGAAACGGAGCTTTAGTCAGCTTCTCCGAATTCAGACTTAGGTTCATGTCAATGATCTCGCAAGTGGATCGCAGAGCAATTCCTACGTACAAACTCGGCAAGACGTCAAAGATTCCTGACTGCATTGACGAGATGTTCAACTGTTTGGGACTCGCTCTGCAATCAGGCCCCAGAACACAAACCATCAACGTGTCATGTGCTTTCCTTGGATTCTGCATTTCCAGTTAAAGAACAAAGAAGAAACAGTTTTTGCGTGTTAATTAGGTTAGCTTTCATGCTTTACCCGCGAAGAGGCTTCCTGTGGAGCAGAATTTCTGGTCTCGAGTAATTCTCTGCTGTCCTAGCGCATCCGTGGTCTTTCGCATTCATGTTGCCAAGCTTGCCAAGTGTATACATCCACCCCGACAAAGCCCAGTGTGAGTTCTTTCAATCCGTTCTGCTCAAAGGCAGCCTGAACGTGTAGTTTCGGATACCTGCTCATCGTGGTGCTGTGGGTTCTCGTTGGCTTCAGCTTCGTGTTTCTCTGTTTCGGGATGTGTCCTGTTCGAGTCTTCAGGTTTGGGTACGACACTTCCATAACCTTTTTCTGCTCATCTGCAAAGGCTACAATCCTAGTGTCCACGTTACGCAGGAGTCTGCCAGCATGTTTGTGTCTTCGTCTTGGCGACGAGCTTGTGAATGGAGTTTCGGGGTTAACATCGGGTAACGGTCCAGCAGAAGCCTGGCAGAAATCCAACACTCTGTCATTGGTCTTCACCCGGTCATTGATGTCAATGGAGATGAGCACGAGTTCAGAAACGTCCGACTTGAGAGAGGATAAGCCCCGAGAGAGAGAGAGAGAGACAGAGAGAGAGAGAGAGAGAGTGAGACAGTGAGACAGTGAGAGAGTGAGAGAGTGAGAGAGTGAGAGAGAGAGAGAGAGAGAGAGTGAGTGAGTGAGTGAGTGAGTGAGTGAGAGAGACACAGCGAGCGAACGAGCGAGGGAGGGAGGGAGAGATGGAGGAGTGCCGACTCCGAACACAAATCTCAATCGGTGAGTTTGAGCTCCTGCGTCAAAAGACTGCAACCCCGCCTTACCTTGATAAACATTTAAGTTGATCGGCATGTTTATCCCTCACACCTCACAGTTGCAAGCCACCTCCGTTGCAGGTGCTAGGGTTTGAGGACCTCTGTTGCAGATGGATTTCGTGGCTTCAGTTGTCTAGGTCTTCAGGGCTGGAGACCATTGATTAATCCTTTTGCCTACAGGATTCGTGGATACGGCTGGTGCTGGGGAGTGTAAGAAATCGTCGGTTGCCTTCGGGACTTTGGGATTTTTCCTTGCGTGCGCAAGGGAGGTCACAACGCGAGTGCAAGTTTGATAATTGATTTTTTGTGTTTTTACGTTTTTATAGAATTTGAATGTAGGGTTTTGTTAACCCTCTATGTAGTACAAGAAGCTATACACAGAAGATAGTGGCACTGCATTATGCGAGCCCAGGACCGTTTTGCCGACGCCAAGGCTCAAACGACACGTGCTGCACCAGCCCAAAGTAAATGTGTTGAGCACCAACCTTTTCAGCAGCCTTTAGGAAGAACTGCTTCTTGACATGGTAGCGAAGCTGCCGGTGTAGAAGCCAGCGAGAACCGAGAACCCAGGCGGCGATGATTTTACTGATGTTAACAGGAGCACCAATGCTCTTTGCGATGAAGTGTGCCTCGCCTGCGCTTGGCGACAGATGTTGGGCCAGGAGAAGATCGCGGAGTTCAGCGAAGTATTCCAGGACTTGCCCATATTCACAATCGCGACCGAACAGGAAGCTAGCACGACAGAAAAACATGTGGATGAAAACCGACTCGATCCCTGGTCGCACGGCAAAGGACGTCGCTCTTGCCAAGACGGTTTGTGAAAAAAGGAACATGCCATGCTACGGCATGGCAGCATGCATGGTGCTGCTGGTTGGGTTGTGTGGGATGATTTTGGCCCCAGGAAGATATACATTGCATGTGAAGCCGTGGCAGGCCCTTGGACAAGGAACTTGTTCGTGGACATTGTAGACTTTCCAAGGAAAGAAACTGTGGGAGAAAGGAAAACAACGAGAGTGACGAGACGGAGCCAGTGTGGAGGAGCCTCCCAGCAAGGCCCAGTACGCAAATGCAGAGAAACTACAGCACGCACTTCGTGAACTTCAACTTCAGGAACACGTACCCGTTCAGGAACAAGAGCGTGCACGATCAACGACCACATGCACGTTGGAACAGGTTTTGCATTCTTGCACATTTCCCTTTGTGAAGTATTTGGTCCCGGAACACTTGTACGAAAACGAGGAGAGTGAGAGCCTTGAGTCTGGCTTCGCCCCTAGGTACCCGAAAGGGAAAGGTTTCACAATGTAGGACAGAGTCCTTTCGAAGAACAGCTCGAGCAAGTGGGAAAAAAGTTTCACGACATCGCGCATAGCCTAGTGAAGGACTTCGTCTCCTGGCTTGCAAAGGTGCCCTTGGGACTGTTCATTTGGATCATTTAGCACATTTTTGCAATTGTTTTTCGTGCTAGCGCAAAGCCTGAACAGAAGAGCGAAGGAGTTAAAGACTGCAGCCAGGAAGAAGAGAGTCGAAGTTCACAGCAACTTTGAAACGGCAACAAAATGGCGGAAGCACTACAGAGGCTTGCAGACGTGAGCCAGCAAATGCTCCAAGGAATACAAGGCTAAGCACAGGAATTGAGGAACGCTGCAGCGGCCCGTACAGTTCCAGAGCAGAGCATTTCAGCAAGTTTCGGCAGCACGCTGCAGTCAGTGCAACAGCAAAACACAGACGCACAAAGTAGGTTGCTTAGAGCGCAGGAAACACCAGTCACAACGCTTGAGGAGGTCGGAAGCCGCTTGATGAAGGCAGTGAAAGGAGGGAAACCAGGTGAGCTTCACATGTTTCACAAGCTCACGAGGCCACCAGATGCATGTTCACCAGGACTTTTGCAAGAGGAAAACAATGGCTTCATGGAGTTCAAGCAACGTCGTCGAATCTGGTTTCTGTTCTCTTTCTCTCTATTCCTCTCTCTCTCTCTCTCTCTCTCTCTCTCTCTCTCTCTTTTCTTTATTTTCTCTCTTTTCTTTCTTTTCTTTCTTTTATCTCTTTTCTTTCTTTTGTCTCTTTTATCTCTTGTCTTTATTTTATATCTTTTCTCTCTTTTCTTTCTTTTCTCTCTCTTTTCTCTCTTTTCTGTCTTTTCTCCATTTTCTTTCTTTTCTCTCTTTTCGCTCATTTCTATTTTTCTATATCTTTTCTCTCTTTTCTCTCCTTTCTCTCTTCTCTCTCTTTTCTCTGTTTTTTCTCTTTTCTCTGTTTTTTATCTTTTCTCTGTTTTCTTTATTTTCTCTCTTTTCTCTCTTTTCGCTCATTTCTTTTTTGTCTATCTTTTCTCTCTTCTCTCTCTTGTCTCTCTTCTCTCTCTCTCTTTTCTATGTTTTTTTTTTACCTTTTATCTTCTCTCTCTCTCTCTCTCTCTCTTTCTTTCTTGTCTCTTTTCTCCCTCTCTCTCTCTATCTCTCTCTCTCTCTCTCTCTCTCTCTCTCTCTCTTTTGCTCTCTCATTGAGAAACAAAGGCGTTTGCGCGCAGCACCAGCCCAGAGTAAAAGTACGGAGCGCCAAGTCTTTCAGCAGCCGTTGGGCAGAACCGATCTTGCACTCCTGCACGTCGTTAGCACTGGACCCCCGAATCAGTTGATTGGCGCCCCTCTAAACTCTAAACACCCGTCTGCGCCCTGAGGATGCATTCCTCAGTCCCTTAAACCTTGAGCCATAACACTTTGAAGCCGTGTGCAAGCTGTTGGTGAACACTAGGTAATGAAGCCGATCGACCCCACCAAGGGCCCGAATGCTACAACCGTTACCTAGCTCCCTTTCAAACAACATCTGCGAGCTCGCAAGTCTTCAGGAACATTGCCGGAACAGTCTCCAGCGTCAGGAAACGTAACATCTTCTGAAGATTACAATAAACTCCGATCCGCAATCTCCACTTACCGTGACTGGTAGCCTGTTTTGAATGAGTCTTCCTGTCATCAGCCATGAAGGACTGCGCTCTGAAACTCATCTTGCCGCATCTCTGGATGCCAAGACTCAGGCGGAAGCCTTTTGCGGTTTTAAGTCTAGGAGTCTCGTGGTTCTGGGTTCTTGGACTGTGCGGGGCATGGATGTCAAACTGAAACCCTCAATGGGGCAGTTTACACAGTGTGCGATTGGCACCACATCTACATTCAGGTTATTTCAACATGTTTGTTGCATTGGATGGTTGGCCTGAGTTTGGATTGCTGTGGATGCAGGCTTGCCTCGGACTCAGCGAAGGGTGCACAGGTCTAGGCCAAAGAACAAGCAGTAGTGAAATCCAAATCCAGCCATGCAAAGAATGCTAAGGTTCCTAGCGATATGTTCAGAAAGGCATCATTCAAGACCATACCTATGCATACCCGTGACCTGCTTTCAACGTTTCCGGGCAATTGCCATCAATAAAATGTTACACAAATTGGGATTGGAGGATTGACCCGTGAGCCCGCCGAGCCTATTATGTCCAAACCTCCATGACTCTGGATCTCGTATGGGACTTCAGCTGTCACGCCGCAGGGCTCTTCACGTCCTCGGCTCCTGTCAGCAGAAGCAGTCACAAAGAGCCTGGAGCCCGTGCATCTTGCACGACATGGATCCTGATAGATTATTTTGACTTTACCGGTGTTGGCGATTTTGGCAGACTCAGGGTCTGTAGCTTCTTTTTCGTGATTTGTTGCTTGCAAGCTTTGAGTCTGTGTGACTGCCGCAATTGGAAGTTTCAGGGGTGTTGTTTTTGACTGAGGCAATCCTGGCACTGCTCCAGCAGAATGGTCTTCGCCTGAGCTTTTTTTGAGGGCATCACTTACCCAAGCAGCGGAGTCTCGATACCGAAGCCTGGAAACCACATTTGCAATGACGGACACAATCCTAAAGCAATTTCATTGTCCATTAGCAGAAGTTTGGAGTGGTCGCCTTGGGCCTCAGGTCAGACCTAGCATGAACAATCTTCACACAAGCCATACTCCGATTTCGGCATGTTGAAGCTTCTGCTTGCAGTGGCAGGTGTTGAAGCCCTTACGGCAATTTCCTCGCACGTAGCCCCCGAACCCCTCACCACCCAACCTCACAGCCCAAAATGTTCCGGGCAAAGGCAGCAAGCTGAAACAATGGTTCTGGCAGTAGAAGCCTTTACGCGACCAGGCTCCTACAATCTTGTTCCGAGCCTAGTCTCAATCCCAACAAGCCCTAAAGTCGAGAATGATTTGCAGGCCAGCAGTTGGAGGAGCTAGAGCTGAACCTGTGTACAGAGTTCCTGCATGAGGAGCCCTTTGGATGTGACAGAGAGAGAGAGAGAGAGAGAGCGAGAGAGAGAGCATGTTTGTGTGTGTGTGTGTGTGCGTCGGATACAAAACAACCATTTCACCAAATCCAACGGTGCTTGCAAAAGACGAAGTCTGCCCAGTGACCTCACAAATCTTTTGAAGGCTTTCGTCCTGCAACATGGAGCGGCTTTGTGCGTTCAATTCGGAAGCCACATGTTGCAAGCCAGATCGCTGAATCTTATTGTTTGGCTATGCTTAAGTAGGGCCTTTATTGACCCCTTGAGACTCCTTCACAAAAACTCGGAGATAGGCACCAGATCCTTTCTCCATCATCGAGCCGCTTCCGAAAGCCCCTTGGGCCACGCATCAAGAGGTCTAGTGGCTGTCGCAGTCAAGAAAGTGCAATGGGGCAAGGTCAGAGTACTCAGGCTCCGAACAGGTCTATGCTGTCGGGGCTTGTTGTGTGTGAGTTGCACAAGAAGGCTTGAATTGGGTCTCCGGCTTCAGTGCTTGAATCCTCGGCTTTTATTAAGTGAACGCCGGTTTCAGGTGCAGTAAGGACAGGTACCCTTTTGAATGTCCGTTCCGAATGCTCTCGATCATGCATGGACAAGCAGTTTAACCTACAGCAACAATACGTCCCAGCCCGAGGCCCCAAATCCTTCAGCAAGTCTAAGCTAGTCAACTCAAGGATTTTCGGGTGTAGCACATTTCGGAAACATGCTGTTGCAGCACCATTCGGATATGCAGGTCCTAGGCATTCAGCGCTACAACCTTGTTTTGCAGCCTTGCTGCCTGCCGCTGAACTATCGTAGGCTGGCAGCGCTGCATTCCCACGGTATTGGTGGACCTAGGTTCTATAGGGAAGGGATTTTGGTCTTCAGTGTTTTGTCATGTTCTGGAGGCTCTGGCTGAGAGCCAAGATCCAGGGCACATCGTGTTGGCTTGAGTGTTCAGCTTTGTGGCTGAGAGCCGTTGCAGTTGCAACGCCCTTACTTAGATTGCAGCGACACCTGCCCCAGGTCAAGCGATTGACGGTTCGTGCACCTATCTTGGCCTCCGCCCCAGGACGTTCTATCAGCATGATCAACGCCCCAGTTCGGTGCTGACGACACAGCGGCGATAGAGGGGTCAGAGGTCAAACGCAATAGCTCCGAGGGCCCTCGGAAGAATAAGCACATAGGCATATTCCGATGTGTACAGGATGGGCATGTGCGAGGAGTAACTCTGTGCTGATGGAGATTGATCGGGTTCAAAGTTGAGCGGCGGATGCGGGGCTTTCCCATCTTGCGTGCCAAGGGGTTGCTGTCAATGAGCTCTGCCAATTTGTCTGGCAAGATTTGTGAGGTGGGTGTAAAAGGTTTAATTTCGAACATAGGACATCATCTGTAGCAGTCTTTTTTTGCTTCGAGAGTTTCAGTGTTTGAGTGGGATATTCTTGCAGCTCTCTCGCCTTTGAGATTGGGCAGGCTAGAATAGGCCAGAGGTTACGGGCAACTAGGTCACCATGCCCAATATATTATATAACTCCTCAAGAAATTTCCGAGAGCTGTAGCCCTGCCTACTGTTAAGAAGTCATGTTGCCAAAGGCTCCCTGGGATCACTTTGGCGAGAAGTGCCCTTCGCTCGAGGATCGCGGTTCAGCTGTTTCGAAACCTGCGGCAACTGTCCAGCACAAGACGAGGAAGACAGACCATCCGAGCCCAGAGCATACTTGTGGGATTTCGAGCCTTGCACTTCAGGTTGATGGTTTCAGGCTTTGTTTCAAGGCCTCGGAGACTGCCCTCGAAAATGGGGAGGAGGCGCTGATCGACAGCATTGGCCTTCTTTCCAACCGTAAGCGGTAGTCGCAGACGCCTCTAAGTCCAGGAGCTAGCTAGCCTCCAGCAAGTTCCTTCCGAAGTCCAGCACCCATGCCCATACCACTATGCTTGGAAAGTTAGATAAAGATCCAAGAAGGCTTGTAGGTGCGTAGCCCCCTATTCCATGATTCAATCTACTTCCCACATAGGGGAAGCCCCACACGCTGTGTTTGCGTCGCCCATGCTTTTTGTCTCCCTGGCCGAGACTGTGAAAGATTCTGTGGATGCCTGACCTGTTGAGTTTTGCCGCATGTTTAGGGCAGCTTGTTTGAACGTGAAGACTGCTGCGAATCTGCAGCTGAGCGGCTCTCGGTAGCCAAGCGAAAAGGTGCGGTGATGTGTCGCTACATCAAACTAGCGGCCTAGTTTTGAGCCAAGCTTTGCATTGGTGGCGCGGAGCAGGGCATCAGCGAAGCGAGCCAGCATGCATCAGCGCAAGATGCTAGCAGCGGGGCGATGGGCAATGTTGGCCGTGATGATCAAGGCAATCATCATCAGCAGCAACAGCAGCACTCGTGGTGAAGACAGAGCAGCAGTGCCTACCAATACACGTGCCAGGGCATGCTTGCGCGGCTAACGCAAGCTGGTGGACAGGCCCATGGGGAAGATCGGGTTCGACGGGTTGGAGTAGGGACAACCGAGACGGGTCATGGTCTAGTTGGGCAGGACATCAGTCAAGTGGGGAGAGGAGCTCGTGGGGCACGGCACCGAATGATGACGGAAGCGGGGCACGTAGGAACTCCGTTCAATCAGGAACGCAGTCCGCCAAGGCCACTGCCCCGACAGAAAGAGAGCTTGATGGAGGTGACGCCCCGAGTTGAAGGAGTGAGCAGTGCCTCCGGCAAGAAAGACTCACTTAAGACGGGCAAAGACTATGTGGAGCTTCGCCGATGCGAGAGTATGAGCGGAGGGTTCGCTTGTTCGAAGTATCAACGGGGATAGATGAATCTTACCGGGTTCAGAAGTTGATGGAGCGGCTGAGTGGAGTGGCGTGGAAAGCCACAACGTCATTGGACCTTCAGGAACTCAAACATCCGAAAAGGGGTGGAGCATTTGTCAGCCCATCTATGGCAAGAGCTCGCATCTTCTCGACGCTCTCAGAGTTTTACAGAAACTTCCGGAAACGCCTGGTCAGGAATACATGGTCGTCGATATGGAATTCAGGACTCACCTCAAGGGGTTGGAAGAGATCGGGGCCAAAATTGAGGGGCTTACAGGCCTGCTGGTTCATTGACAAGGCACGGTGGGGCTTACGAAGGCCTACTGGTGCATTGTGAAGGCAGGGTTATCAGGTGATCTTCGATTTCGAAAACAGCTGGTAGCAGCAGCGGGGGGCGAGTACGACTACAGCAAGCTGAGGACAGCCTTGATGGCCATTGTACCTCGGGCCAACAAGGAGGAAGAAGGTAGTAACAGGCCCAATGGGGGAAATCGTCTTTGGAAAGCGCGAAACAATCAGCCAGCGCGGCAGGTACATGTTACGATGGATGACAGCACGGATCAATCGAAGCCGGGCGAGATGGAGGACGAAGGTGCCGAAGCTGATCATCTGGAAGGAGAATTAGAATGTTATTGACCCAGTCGGCGAAGAAGCTGGCCCGGATCGATCGATCGATCGAGAAGGCCCGTGGCTTCACAGAGAATGAGATACCCGAGGACCGGGAGAAGAGGATCAAGAGCATGAAGGAACGCAGTCCGCGTTCAGCTTGCAAGGCCCACGGCAAGACGGTGTATGGACATTGGCATGGAGATGTGACTTTCCCATAGAATCCTGATCATAAGTCTGCGGAAAATAGCAGTTGAGTGACAGTGAGTCGGATCAGGATGAGCTGTTCGGGCCCAGCGGCACGTACTTCGCCAAGGTTGACCTCAGTGATGACGGAGAGGCATCGGGGGCATCGCATGAGGTTTGGATTGGGTCAGTCAGCACTCCGAAGTTGCCAGCCGATTCAGTGGGCTCACCTCAGAGTCAGTGTGGTTGACCAGGATGCGCCACTCCTCATCAGCGAGGCGGCGATGAAGCGGCTGTGAGTGGTCTAGGACTTTGCCAAGGGGAATGTTGAGTTTAAGGAGCTGGGTGCGTCTGTCCCACTGAGGGAGACCAAGACGGGCCTTTGTGGCTTCAGCGTCAACTTCGGGAGTTGTGGGAAGAGGTACACATGACACATGTCCCAGCACACAGTTGTTGGGATCGGAGTGTGCAGTGGTACTTCAACCTTGTGATTGTGCTCCGGATCAGGAAACCATGGAGACCACGACGGAGACTCCACACCTCGGGGACAACGACCAGGCATCCCTCCAGAAAATAAGATGTGCAAGCCATACGTGAATGTGAGGACCTGGCTAGGGATCCACTTCAACAACGAGTTTTCTCTTACATTGCTCTTCTCCATTTGGTCAGGAAGCTGCCCATCGGGAAGAGCCAGCGCCACAGGCGCAGCAATGACGGAGCAGGACGAAGGACCTAGCAACAACCCATGGGCAGCCGGGGTGTTTGTGCACGGCAAGTGGCAAGGTGTGACTAAGAGATCGACCAGGTATCTACATGTCGTCAGATACATGAACTCGTTCTTGAGAGAATGCAGTTCGTTGGAGTGGACATCGTTTGCGTGGCACAAGAGTGTTCTCATGGGAACTCACGCAGATATCAATAATGACAAACAGTGAGCGACCAGTGACAGTCACGTGCGGTGAGTTTCAGGGAGGACAGATGTGGTTGCACGATCCTGACAGACGTGGAGCATCGCACCAATGCAGTCTGGAAGCAGGACAGCCAAGGTCGAGAACTTGCGGGACGATTGGTGTCGACCTTCCAGAAGCCTCCTGAGTTCTGTCATCAAACTGCACAAGTGACGCATCCATGGCAGGGAGAGAGATGGTGTCTTAGAGCTTATCGAGTGCGAGATTGCAATGAGGTCAATGATGATTATGGGACGCTTTGAAGAGATTGAAGTTTCCTCTTCCGAGGCGACCGGCTTCCCGGACCTTTGTGGTAGCAGATGAGCTTTGTGCAAACACACTCATGTCTTCCTCGTACCGAGAGCCGCAAGACAGAAGAGAAGATGTGAGCGACGCAGCGCAAACTCCGCAGATGCAGCAGCCGTTGACCAGTCATTGTGATCTACACGTAGTCGCCGAAGGCGACTCCAGGTTGAGCCATGGAGCAGATTGTGGCACCTCGCAAGAAGGTGGAGTACGTTCAGGCCATTGCGTGCCGCCGTGCGGTGACGGAGGACGACCTGCGTGCCCACATGGGCAACCGTTTGAATCAGTTGCGGGCTGTGTTGAAGCCCAAGAAGGCCTCGACGATCCTCCCGACCGGATGGAAGCAGCTCGACCTGGAGGACATTCGTGCCTTGTATGTCAACAGGGTGATTGCCGACCTCAACCGGGACCAAGACGGACACTGGCTTCGGTGGAAGAAGACGCAGTACATTCTCGGACTGGAGATGTGGGAGGCCGATGTGCGGGAGGCGACGAAGACCGAAGTCGATCTGCCAGATACTTTGGTTTACGACGCCCAACGGCTCAAGTCCAGAAAGAAATCGAGAAGGAGACCACGGACAAGAAGCCAGCGGCCGGCTATGTGGACGTGGAGCGCAAGGGCATGCCCGGGGCTGATGGAGATGAAGGACAAGATCAAGGAAGTGAGGGACAAGAAGAGGCAAGCCCAGGAGCGCCGCAGCTGCTGCAGCATCCTCGGACGGATCATGGGTTCCTGCCGGACCTTAGCCTTAGACGAGGAGAACAAGGATAGGATCTTCAATGCCAACCTCACGGAGGAGGAGATTGCAGCGGTCCAGTTACTCCAGCTCCAGAAGAGGAGCGGGGCACGGAGACGGGAGTCAAGGCAGTGACACTGAAGTAGCCCATCAGAAGCTGACGCCTGAGCAGGTGAAGCCCGTGGGGTTGCCGCAGGGGCATTTATCAGTACAGTAGCCGTGCTTAGAGCAGCATTGGACTCATCCCGGGTGTATCCGGATGTGTCAGAGATATGCAATGGGGAAGAGCAGATTTCGTCTTCTTTCTCAGGATGGGGATGAGCTGGCCAAGTGAATTGACTCGTCAATCATAACCATGGTTGGTGGTCATGTCGAGTTGTTACCCTCAGACATTTCCATTGTATCCATGGCATCGGAATCCGTCAAAGCATGAGAGGAGAGCGAGGAAGTGGAGAGAGAGAGAGAGAGAGAGAGAGAGAGAGAGAGAGAGAGAGAGAGAGAGGCAGAAGTTGGGCTGTTGAGTTCATCCACTGTGTTTCTGATTTTTGCGGCTTGCTCGAGGAGATCAGGCAATGGCTGAGCTTCCTTTTGTGGAGACGTGTGGAGCTCAATCGCTTATTAAGATTCATCTAGATTGTGTCAGAGGTGCAAAAGTGGACCTGCAATATAAGTACCCCGATTGATGGCTTCGCGATGTTCGGTGAGACAGAAATTGCTGCATCGGAGGGCAGTCGCAGATATCCGAGATGCCGCCGCCTAAATTGCCACCGCTTTTGCTCATGATGTTGTCTCTTGCGGTGTTGCTGTTGCTGATCATGATGTCGCCCAATACTACTTTGGTTCAAACGGCTTGCTGCCAGATGCCAGCAGAACACACGAGAGAAGGATGTAAACAAGAAGACCAGGGATCCAGAAGGAGACATTACTGCCTTCGGCCCGAGAGCTGCTTCACCGCTGCGTCGCCGATGCTGATGCTCATGCTGATGCTCCTTGTTCAAAATGCCGAAGGAGAAGAAAAAGCATTGCTAGAGACAGTTGTTTCGAAGAAGATATAGGCCAGAGAGAGGTATTCATGAAAGCAGACAGATCAGATAGATTATGGAGTCGAAGATACGGTCCGGTTAAGCCAAGTGTGCTAATGCTTGTGCTTTATGGGGTGTGGGGCAGGAAGGGCGGGAATCCCGCTCTCTGACTCTCTGACTCTCTGAATCTCTGACTCTCTGACTCTCTGACTCTCTCTCTCTCTCTCTCTCTCCGTCTCTCTTTCTTTTTCTCTCTTTCTTTCTCTCTTTCTTTCTCTCTTTCTTTTTTTTCTCTCTCTCTCTCTCTCTCTCTCTCTCTCTCTCTTTCTCTCTCTCTCTCTCTCTCTCTCTCTCTTTCTGTTTCTCTCTCTGTCTCTCTCTGTCTCTGTCCTCTGTCTCTCTCCCTCTCTCTCTGCCTGCACTTCTGTGTCTCTGTCTGTGCATCTTCTTCGTGTACAACTGCCTAACGTGTGTCTGTGCTTGCCCCTGTGTCTGCGCGTGCGCTCGAATGCGGCAGTCTCTGTTTCTGTCGGTGGCTGACCCAGCCACCTTGTCATAATGCATGATACAGTTGCGCGACTCCGCCCCAGACCCCGGAACCCTTCCTGCCCTGCCCGACACCCCGTAAAGCGCGAAGGTATCGGCTGCTTAACCTCTTGGCCCAGAGAGTGAGCGCTTCCCATCCTCCTTAGGTGTTCCTGCTGGTGCTGTGGTGTAGGTGTGTGAGCCATTGCAAAACAGTCGAGAGAAACTTGAACGAACCGCGAATTGGGTCCATGTGTGTGCCCGTCCGTGGAGGTGTGGGGAGCCGGAGTCGAAGAGTCCAGAGAGGGTGCAGAATCTCAGCCGCGGCTCCTTTAAGAGGCTTCCGGGAGTCTGGAGGCGGAGGGGAGGGGGTGAAGTGGAGAGGAGTGAAGAGCAGACAGGGCAGGGTACACCGCAGGAGAGTCAGTATGGAAAGCTGTGTTGCCCTATCGTCAGCTGGCCTTTTGGAAAATTGCTCGCCGCAGAGCGATGAACAACTACATGTCACATCTCCGATGAACCTCGTCGCAAATGACCGTCCTGCCCATTGCACGTCACATATCTATACCGTGTGCCGTATACTGCTGCTTATTTGCAAGCACACCGGTCTATGGTTTGTTCGCACGCTTGCAGCGCTACTTTCCAAAAAGCTGTTCGTGTTTATCAAGTTGGGAGAGGTTGGAGTGCTTGGTGATAGGATGTTTTGGAGCTTGCAGCGTGCGGTTCGTAGTCCATTTTTTTGTTTTGGGTTGGAGTGTTAACGTGCCAGGCTTCGTGCGTGAAGTGTTCTGTTGCCGTGAGTGCCTCTTGACGGCAAAGGATGGTTTCACAGCTCTGTTTGAGTGAATGTGCGAAGAATCCAGTGCAACAGGGCTAATCCACGAAATCAGTCGTGCCGTGAGTGCGCGCAAACCCACGGGCATGACCGCATGAATTCTAACACAATCGCTTGTTGAGGGCATTATTAAGCACCCTCGTCCGATCAGTCTTGGGACCAAAGTCAGACAGGGCGTGACTTGCGAGACATGTGGTTGACCAGTTTAATTATGTAAGTCACCTAGCTGACGCCGTCGAAGAACCCGAGATCGAACATGAGAAGGGAAGCTCCGTTCGCCAGACGTCGTCGACCGAGTCGAGTGCCAGACGCTTTGCCAAAGCGGTGTGTTACGGATATATTCAGTAACTTAAGCAAAGTGATCCGGCAGGGTCCGGAAAGTGCTTCGGGACGTGGCCGCAAGGATTAGCCATGATTAGTCGCGCAGTGCACTCTGGGAGTCGAGATGTACCCGAGCATATTTTTCAGAGGTTCGTGAAGTTAGGCGGGGCTAGACAGGAAGCCATCGAGGCTGTGGGAATCATGAAGTTCGTGGCCTGTTCTCGCAATAGGCAGCCAGCTATTCATCGAGTGTCTAGCGTTCCTCCTTGTCAAGTGACATTTGGCGATGAGGTGCAACTTGTTTGCACATGCATCCACGATTCTGAGAAACAACCACATTGGTTTCTCTCGGTGATTGACCGGGCGATCTTTTACCGCATCATCGAATTGCTCAGGGACCATTCTCCTAACGAGCTCCTGAGCGGATTCGACAGGGCGTGGATGAAATGGGCAGGTCCGCTCCTCCGTGCAACAACCCATCTTGAGGGAGGCTACCAGGGTCGTGAGTTTTGGTAGAGTGTGGATGAAAGTGGATGTAGCCTCAGCGCTATCGCAGGAACTGCACATTGGCAGCAGGGCAAAAAAGAGAGGCACAGTCGCACTATCAAAGACATGCTCATCAATACCATCCGACACACTCAGCCTAAGGGCAGAGAAGAGATGAGGAAGCTTGCCAGAGAGGTTGCTTGCGCCAAGAACAGTTTGGTTCGCGAACATGGATGGTCTCCAGTTGTCCTGGTGTTTGGTCGTGAGCCTCGGATGTTCGGAGAACTGCATCATAACGGGAATCCTGGGTCATTCCATCCTTCAGTCGGAGGGAAGGGAAGCGGTGTGGCCATCCGCATGGAGTATATACCGAGAACATGCTAATTTGGAGTATGCCTGAAGCCAGGCTAGACGGATGGTGCTGAAAACCGTGCATCATCGAACCAGGAGACTTCCCATTCCGAAGATTGGTCAATTGGTTTTCTCCTGGCACGACCAAGGGAGCAAGAAGAGGGAGACCTAAATCAAATGGGTAGGTCCAGGATATATTGTCGGACTTCAGGATCGGAATGCTTGTGTAGCTTGCGGAGGACGGTTCTTCTTAGCTGAGGGAGAGCATCTTCGAGAGGCTATCGGGGAGGAGAAACATTTCGAGGATCCTCAACTCCAAAAGGCCATGGCTCTGTTAAGAAGCTCCCTCGAGAAGCCACGTGTGTGAGGATCGGGCCAGGGTGATCCACAAGCAGAGCCCGAACTTCTCGAAGAGGATCTGCTTGCACAGGAGATTGTGGAAGATGTCGATCGACACGGAGGACAGTGAATCTACAGGACTTCCACAAGAGTATGCTGAGCTGCAAAAAACTAGGCTGGCATGGTGACTCTCAGGGTAATCCTGTCCTCATTTCGCACCAAGTTTGGGCCTTCAGAACTCCTGAATCCAGGTATGCTCGCGAACGATTTCCTCTGCGAACGACATGGGGGTACATGGAAGGGCAGTGGAAGAGATTGGACCATGAAGTGAAATTGCAGGAACTGTAGGACTTAAGAGAAGGAAAGGAGGGGCTAATATTCCGCATCCTGTGCATGCTGTTGTGTCAGGCAAGAATAATGTGCAAAGCCAGAATGAGCTTCGTCGGATGGAGCAGGAGATTTCTTTTGAGATGACACTCGAGAGTGACCGAGAACTGTATCGGATTACAACAGTTGCATTTTTTAGTTTGGAGGAGAGTAAGCGAGTGGAGGAGGAGAGACCCAACAGAGTTTGCCTAGCAGGTACATTTTCAGGAACAAGCATGCCGGGTTGAAGCAGGATAGCTCGGGAATTAAGATCTTCCGGTGAAAGCAAAGGCCAGGTTGTGCCTACAAGGACATTTGTGTCCCGACAGCAAAACAGGCAAGCTGCAAGTTGACTCACCTTACCATTGAGAGGGTTTCCACCATGATATCAATTCATTTAGCAACTAGCTTCGGATGGACAAAGAACTGGTACATCGGTGATATTTCGATCGCCTTCTTGCAAGGTGTGCCCTCGGTGCCTTGAAGTTACCTACGTGAGGCTCCGAAACAAGGCTTGAAAGGTCCAGTGGCCGGACAGATATTGAAGCTCCTCAAGCCGGTGTAGCCCGTAGAGGGTGGTACAATGAGCTGTCGAGGATTCTTCAGTCGGAGCTCGGGTTTTAGAACCCCACCGTCGATGCAGCTTTGTTCTGCTTACGGGATTCTCAGGGACGTTTTGAGAGCGCTCATGATGTTGATGATGTGATGATGTGTCATGATGGGGTAAGGCAGCGTCTAACCTGGGTGCAGGTGTCGGAGCAACCATCGGGAGTAACATATTGGGGTAAAGAGATTCAGCTTGTCCGAAAAGACGGCAAAGACTGCTTCGTATTATTCCAGAATGCTTTTGTCGATGGAAGGTTGCAGCCGATGCGAATCGATGCTAGCAGGACGAAGTCGATGCCAGGGCGACAGAGGCAGAAGTCACCGATTACAGATCGGTGATAGGAACTCTTCAGTGGATCACCGCTCAGAGTCGGCCTGATCTTGGTTTTGAGTGCAATGCATGGTCGAATTGAGAGTGAGAGATCTTCAGAGGGCCAATCGCGCGGTGAGGGAAGATGTGAAGAATCGCTTTGAGATGACATTGAGATCTGAGATAGTCGCATTACATGATGCTGGGCTTTAATTATAGCAGCGTAGGGGTCGAGATAGACGGACAGGAATGCGATGACATTCTTCAGTCGAGCTCTGACAAGAAACTGGTGTATTGGCAAAAGGGTGTCTGCCCTGGAGTTTGAACGTGAAAACTGCTGCAATCCGAAGCTGAACGGCTCTCGGTAGCCAAGCGAAAAGGTGCGGTGATGTGCTGCTTATCAAACTAGCAACCTAGTTTTGAGCCAAGCGTTGCAGAAGCCATGTCCCCATTCGAGCGGTTCAGGAGCTAACCTTTGTCTATGACCACGACTTCGCTTTGAATCTGGCACAGGTGTCTGGGCGGTTGCGTCAAACCTTTAGGCATTCAGCTTACGTCGGAGGCCATGGCAGTGACGGGCACAGTATGACTGCTTGGTGCTTTCCACCCTCAGCGAAAGTCTCGCGCTTGCTTGGTTATTTCAGCAGTTTGTAGCGGCTTATATCCGATTCCCCGTTCACGTCCATATGTTCCTTCATAAGTGTCGCGGCGATTGAGAAATTCTGGTGTCAAGGCATTGTGCATACATGTCAAGCTACGAAGTGGTGTTCGGGGAATCATTTGGACGGTGGTTGATAATCGGTTCAGGGTTCGGGCTTCAGACGGACCGGCCGGTTGGGTCTTCCCACGGTTTCAGGCTGGTCGTGCCCGACTGGCAAGGGTCGTTGATTTCTCGGCGCGCTCCGGTTGATCTTCGTAACTGCGGCTTCCTCTTGCATTCGCGGTCGTGCCTGCTGTCATGCGATTAGTGTTTCTTGTTGTGCCTTTTTTATCGATGTTTGCATCATTTGAACAATACCGGCTTATCTTCTCAGGCGGGTTGGCCATATTCAAACGATCACTGGAAGTTCCCATTCTGGTAGAACGTCTGTCGGGATGCGTTGAAGGTGCTGGAGGACATCGAGTCTTTGGAAGAGGAGGAAGAGTTTTTGGTAGGAGGCTGAGTTTTAAGACCTTAGCATTGCTGCATTTAAGCCAATCATAAGCTTCAACCTGTTCTGACCGGTCGATGATGCAGTCTTGCATCTCCTTATGCCACGTCGGAGAAGTCCCTATGAGCCGCACAGTGACTTTGGGACCGCGGGTGTTGTATCCTCCCCAAAGTACGGAATTTGACGTCAAAGTTCGCACCAAACCCGATTTCTTATGACCCCTGAGGCATGAAGTTTTGTTTTAGTCGATACGCGAACACCAACCAACCGACCGACCAACCAACCCAACAACATCTCCCGACCAACCGGAAAAGGAGAGATGAAAGGATGCATATAGGGATATATCAAATCTAGACTCCTCGGAAGCCTCAGCAGATTTAGTATTGTCATCACTGGTATCGGCCGCCGATGCGAACGGATCGCGCCATGCAAGGCTGAGACTTTGAACCAAACGAATCTTTGCCTTTGAAGCCTCATTTTCACGCGTGCGGATCCCTGTTTGGGTTTGATATGCACGAAGCACGTCTTCAAGAGAAAACGACTGCCACACTTGACACGGCTGGGACTTCGACCCTTAGCTCCCCGCCCAACGTTTGCCGATTAAGGGCCAGCACACCACGTATGTCTACAAAGACGCGGTGCGCCGGAGCGTGTTTTCCATGACTTCTGAAAGCGGGGTTGAGGGTGTTCTCAAGGCTGGATTGTAGCAGAGTACCGGTAGTTCAGTAGATGATGTCAGATTATCCACTTCTTGGGTTTTGCATGTCTGGCGGAAGTTCATAGTTTCGATTTATTCCAGATGTTGCGCGTGAAACCCACAGCCAATGTACCAACACCTTTGCTTTATGAAATGCTACAGTTCGTTTTAAGGGCGATCTAGTTCCCCCGAGCCTACATGAATTATAAATGCGCCTTGCATTGCACTGGCCAGGCCCGCTTCGCTATGCGACTCCATGCGCTGGGGTTTCGGTGCCTTGCAGAGACCTGTCCGAACCTGAAGGCCAACATCGGGATTGTAGAGGATTCCAAGCAGATTCCTCGCTTCTCCGGCCCTTCTGCGAAGACTATGTGCGCTTTTGGCTTGACTTCTGTGGCCGAAAGGGTTGAACGTGTCATGTGCTTAGCGGGTTAGCTCAAGATCGATCGACAAACCCGTCAGGTGATCCGGTTTTCCTTGTGGGACAACTCCTTCGGGGCTGATACGCCGGCGCCCAGTGAGGACGCTGTCTCCGCGTCCGGTTTCAGGGCACATGTAGTGTTTAAGCCCTGCAGATATCAGCACACGAGTTGAGTTTTCTGCACGATGTTGTCTTAGAAGTTCTGTATGTTCGAATTCCCAAAAGATAGCCAGACGCGTCCTTGATCTTGATGAGGCGAATTCAGTTCTCCAAATGTCACCCGACTCCCAGCCCCAACAAACAAGGCCGCAACCAGAATGCCTTGAGTTGGTCTTGAGTTTCTGATTTTGCGAGCATGCCTTCAAAGAGAATGTGTCGAAGGGCAATCCTGCAAGCAGCCTAGCAGCTCTGACTAGGAGAGTTTAACACGCAAGTGCAGATCTGGTGTATTTCATGGCTTGATTTGTTTGCTCTCGTCGGGTGGGGCCAGGAGCAGCCTCTGACGGTGAGCTGGAGGTGAGCAAGTGTTGGGGGGATGATTTGTTGAAAGCAGAAGTTGAAGCTGAATTGAGGCTTCGGCTGTCCCGCCCTCACGCACTAGATCAAGAGTTACAAAAAACCCGAAATATGGGAGCTTCAAGCATCCTTAATGTTTTACGGTTTAAACCCATCCATCAAGGCCTACGCTCCAGTTTTGTGCAGTCTGTTTCGGCATGATACCCGAAGCCGCGAACAAGCTTCAAAGGAGACCGAGTGTGCACTGTTGGCAGTGCACAAGGCCAATTACGTTCTGGGCCCCTAATCCCTCATTTGCAAACAGAACTTCTGAATCGCGAGGCGCGGCGGCAATTCATCGAAGCTTAGAACAAGGAGACGGGTTTGGTCAGCTTTGCACCTCTCGCTTGAGCTTGGTGGCAGCGTATGAACGTTGCACACGGGTAGACCAGTAGACCCAAAGATGTGGGCTGAGAGGTTCAAGCTGCAGCGTGTGCCGTACACTGCTTAATTTTAGAGCCCGGCCCAAACCAGGTTGTGTTGTCAGTCTCCAAGTTCCAGGACCGAGACCCTAACCAAGGAGGTTTGAGTTTAACTGCCTCCTTCTACACGCACCAACGAGAATGCGCATGCGCACATCGCACCCACGCACCCACGCACCCACACACCCATGCACCCACACACCCATGCACCCACACACACACCATCACACACCCACACACACGCCCACACACACCCACACATGCACGCCCACACGCCCACATGCGCGCCCACACACACCCACACGCCCACACGCCCATTGCACACGCACGCCCACACGCCCACACGCCCATGCACACGCGCCCACGCGCCCATGCGCCCGCACGATCGCGTGCATGCAGGCGCGTGCATGCAGGCGCGTGCATGCAGGTGCGTGCATGCAGGCGCGCGCAGGCAGGCGCGTGCAGGCAGACGCGTGCAGGCAGGCGCGTGCAGGCGGGCGCGTGCAGGCAGGCGCGTGCAGGCAGTCGCGTGCAGGCAGGCGTGTGCAGGCAGTCGCGTGCAGGCAGGCGTGTGCAGGCAGGCGCGTGCAGGCAGGCGCGTGCAGGCAGGCGCGTGCAGGCAGGCGCGTGCAGGCAGGCGCGTGCAGGCAGGCGCGTGCATGCGCACACGCGCGCACGCGCGCACGCGCACACGCGCGCACGCACCCACGCGCGCACGCCCACCCGCCCGCCCGCCGGCCCGCCGGCCCGCGCGCACACGCACACACACACACACACACACACACACACACACTTACACACACACACACACACACACACACTCACACACTCTCACACACTCACACACACTCACACACACACTCACACACACACACACACTCACATTCACACTCACATACACACACTCACATTCACACACTCGCACACTCACACTCACACACTCACACTCACACACACACACACACTCACACGCACACACACACACACACTCACTCACACTCACACTCACACACACACACACTCACACACACACAGAGACACATGCAGATGCACTCGCACACACTCCATGCACCTGCACGCACTCACATGCACTCAGATGCACTCCAACACGCACTCGCACTCTCACACGCATTCTCACATGCTCACACAGTTTTGCGGATGCATGCTGCGTCCCCGAATAATCCAATTTCCTGGTCTTGTACAAGGCTCACCAAGCAGCAGAGTGGAGATGCGGTAGGAAAAAAGTATCGTATATAATCTTGGGTTTAGTCCCGGGTGGTTGAATACTCGCAAGAGTCTTAAGAATTTTTCATGTTGCATGAAGACGATACCACTGCAACATACTTTTGACGCCAATTACACGATACTGTATAGCAAAACACAGCTTGCGTTGCTCTAGCCTTGACAAATTATTACAGAACACAGCCCCCGACGTCGGATGTCAGGCCGTTTGGTCGGTGTAGCGCGGCGAACAATGCCACGCGATCGGAGCTAAAGGACCAGAGTATACCACAGGGGTAGGGCCAGGTCACTTGTCCGTTTAGTTGCGTTTCGTGCTCAGCCTCGTCGTCGTGGTGGTAGTGGTGGTGGTTAGGGTTGCTCTCTTGCTCTCCTGTTCCTGTTCGTGCTGCTGCTGCTGTTGGTAGACACAAAAACAAGCCCATAAAATTGGGAATGCTTCCGGCGACCGCATAGGGTGATTGTAGAGTTGTTTTTGGGAATGCAAGCCAGGGCTCATTCAGCGTCCACCCCATGATACAGGTGCGGTGTAGGCTGGCTGGTTGTTGTAACATTGTAAAGGGTGGGTCAAAACAACAGATGGGGGGCACCAGTTTTTGTCACTAGCATCAGGTGGAGACAGAGGCCCGTTGAAGTCTGGATTTCGTCTCTTCCTGTTGGTACTTGTAGAAACGAAAACTGTAGCCTCGTCTGTTGTTTTGAACCCCCTCCCCCCGTTCACAACAGCCGCCGGTATTACGCCACGGTGCCACGTTTCCCCCCCCAAGTATTGGAATTTGCGAACTGTAGAAGGGTTTTCATTATAGGTTTTGGAAGGGATTTAGTGGTAATGTTGTCACGGGCTTCTGCATGTTTGCCTGGAGTTTCATGGGCCTTCATTGCATGTCGAAGGGTTCAGAAGGGATTTGGAAGGATCATGGAAAACACAGAACCCCGTGGGAAACGTGTGTAGCAGAAACGAAAACCAACCAAACATAAATTCCTGTGTAGCGCGATGCGCTGCAATATACAGCACTTTGCAAAAAAGGTTACAGATCAAACAACTGTCCTTGTCTTACGAGACCAAGTCTTGTGTACTTTCACATAGAAATCAACGAGACCGTGTAATTACCGATGTGTGTTCCGCTTGCGAAAACGTGGAAATCCAGACGCAACAAATACCGATGCCACGAGGTTTTCGGAGCGTTGTTGTTGTTGTGGTGGTGGTAAGCCTCTCGGCCCAGGAAAGGTCAGGCTAGTACAGTTCCTCTTTCTTTTCATGCCATGGCATTTGTCAGCGCCTGAGCGGTCCCGGTCCCAAGTCCGGGAAAAGCAATTAGAGTTACAGCCATCTATAAGCTCCCAGAGGTCAGGGTTGTCGGTCACGCGAAGCCGACAGGAGCAGCGCTCAACATGAGCACTGCGAAACAGCCTAGTGTTTCGACCAAGCACATTCCGCCGGCTCCCAAAGGGAAAGGTAAACGTTCATACCAGAAGGCGACACGAAAGGCTCTACAGGATGGTAGTGCGGTGTATAAGGGGAGAAGGATGTCATTGGCAGAGCTAAGAGCTACTCCAGTATTCTTCTTCTATAACTTTCAAATGAGTCAGCAGGTTGCTTATCTGTCATGGAATGCGGGATCTCTAACAACAGCAGCCTGGGAAGTGTTACTCTCCGTGCTCAGAACCTCCTCCTATCAGGAGGATAAACTTGTAGCCATTCAGGAGACTCATTGGAGAGGCAGCTGGCAGTTCACCAAAGAGGGTTGGCATGTTGTGAGCTCAGGTTCAACAGGAGAGAAGGGAGCAAGAGTTCTCGTCATGGTACGCTCTCATCTCTTTGCAAGCTGCAGGCCCTCAGATGCAATGAAGTCATTCCCGGAGGTTCGGATTCCCGGAGAAGGCATCTCTCTAGATGTTTAGCTGCTACCAATATGTTTGCCGCTCAAAGGAAACGGTGGAACAGAATAAACAAATGTGGCAGCAGACTCTACAGTCTCTTGGCAGAGCGCTGCGAGCAATTCCTAACCGCAACACCCTGCTAGTGCTTGGGGACTTCAATATGTCCCTCAAGACAGACATGAGGCACGTTGGTCCATGCACAATTCAGACCTGGGGCATCGTGGCACAAAGGACCTACAGCGACTTCTAGCGGATCATCAGCTCGTGGGTGCCAACACGTGAGGCGCTCGAAGGCCTGCCACACATTCAAGGTAACTCAGTCTCTCAGATTGGCTTTTCCTTCGTACGGATAGCACAATCGAAAGGCCCCGGTAAGCAGTGCCAGCCACAGCGGAACTTTTCCGTGGCGCAGTGGTGTGATGGCAGTAAACGGTTTCCGCTACTGGGTAAAGTACAGCAGGAGTTACTCCGCTGCTCACGCAAAGCCTTATGATCAACAAATCATGGAGGATTGCTACAGGCAAGGCTCTTCCAGAGTGGAAGCATTTCGGGCTCACGTCGACAATGCTCGGTCTAGCCTCCCACAATCCTGGGGATCACTTAGCCAAGTCATGAGTGAAGCACTGCGAGAACACTGCCCTAAACGCAACAACAGTGAACCCCTGCCAGATGTCAGTGTTTGGAAAGCAAGAGCAGCTCTCAGGTCGCTGCCCATCAGCGTCCGGGTCATAGCTGAATCCATGCCTGCATTGCAGCTTCGTATTGTCTTCCGATGCTGGCAAGCTTTAGCTACACAGAGCTCTCAAGCAAAGAAAGCCAAGCAGCTTAAGAAGGAACGGCGTCAGCAGGAGATTGTACTCGCAGCTCCTTCAGTCGGAATACAGATCAAAGCAGGATGGCAGCCACTCACTTTACAAAGTCAGCAAAAGATTTCGTTCAGGTAAGCCTCAGGAAAGGGTGCAATTGAGAGATGAAGCGGGTCGCTTTCTCACCGCTGCCGAGCAACGCAAACAGCTCGAGGGATATTTGCTGGATCTCTTTGGCTCAGGTGCGGACTTCCCTCTAGCAGGATGCCAGCGGCGCCTTCAAGACTTCAAGTCACTCCCACAGAGGTGAGGGATCAGCTCATGACGATCAAAGTCGGAAAGGCAGTCCCAAGAGGCAGCCCTCCAGTTGTGGCATGGCGTTCCCTGGGTCCCAGGGCTCATCAGTTCATGGCTGAAATCCTCAATCAGGAGGTTGAGTCAGAGCTTTGAACAGGTGGTCTCACTGCTTCACAGATCTCATGGTTCCCCTCCCAAGAAACCAGACAAGCCAGCTTCCCTAAGGCCAATTGGGGTCATCGCTCCCGAAGGGAAGATACTGGCAGGTTTGGTTCGTAAGCGCCTCAAGACAACTCTCCAAGCAGCCATGTCAGGAGCATCGCAGTTCGGATTCGTTCCAGGACGTGGCACTGAAGAGGCCATTTGCAAAGCCCTCTCCCATGCTGATCAGGCCCGCCTGAGAGCAGTGGGCTCGCAAAAGACCTGCGGGACAGGGCCACTGGGGTCTGAAACTCAAAGGAAGCTCAACGCTCAGCGTGGACATGAGTAAAGCCTTTGATACAGTGGATCGTCTCAGATTGGAAGCAGAAATGGCAGATCCCATTCTGATAGAGGTAGTGGGGAACCTGCATATCCGCTCTGTATCTAGAATGACGGCCTCCGAACAGTCCTTTGAAATAGCAACGAGGAGAGGGATTAAGCAAGGCTGCAAACTTGCTCCCTCTCTTTTCGCATTCGCCACAGGACTTCTCTTCCGGAAGCTAGCTAAGCAAATCAGCTCAGAAGAGCTCGCCAGGATTCTGACCATGTACGCAGACGACAGTCTCCTCCAATCTCACTTTGACTCAGAGGAAGATCTCATGACTGCTTTGAGCTACTGTGATCTATTGCTTGATAGTAGAGCTAGGCTTCAAGGTAAACCCCTCTAAATCCGCGCTGCTGTTACAGATCCATGGATGTTTTGCCCAGACCATTCGGAAGAACATTTCAGAACAGTTGACGGCACTAGGTACGTCGAGCTTCCCTCCAGTCGTCTAATCTCGCACAAGTACCAGGTGCCCTACTTGGGTATCATTCTCTCCTACCAAGATCAAGAGATGCGAACACTCAAGCACGCAAATGTGCGTGCACACGTGAAGCTTCTCGGTCGCAGCGAAGAGCCTGCCTTTGTGAACAAAAAGCAGCTGTCTTGCAGGTGTATATTATAGATAAGTGGCAATGGCAGGTAACCAAGTTCTGTGCATCCTGTCTCTCAAGGCAGTACTTCCCCTGCGAAATTGGAGCCGTGTCCAGAATCTCCTGACAGAGGAGGGAGAGAGGCGCGGGGCGGGGTTGGGGGTTAGGGTTTATAGGGTTTCTAGGACATGGTGCTTGCAAATTCGGCCCATGGTTTGGAGGTTCCAGAGACAGTCGGGTCTGTCAGTGTCTTTCATATGCGACGTGGGATGTCTTTTGCTGCAGCCAGGCGTCTTCGAATTGGCAGTTGAACTGGAGCAGCAAGCGGATCTCTCGGTTGTGCTCCGTGGGCGGAGCGAAGTGCTCCCACAAAGCCAGAACAACGGGGCCGAGATCTCGCATCTCGGCTGCCTTGCCTCGCAGTTTGTAAGTTCTCTTTTGGATGAACATGGTCAGTTTGTTCAGTCTCTGGCCGTACCGGGCCGGCGCAGGGGAGGTGCCCTCACCCTTCTGCTCCTTCTTGATGAACCGCCACAAAGTCTTTAAGTTGGCCAGCGGTTCCTCGTCCATGATCTCGCTTGTCAAAAGCTGAAAAATGCTCCAGTACAAATACTGGACAAACCCCAGATACTTCACGCGCATGAGATCATAGTGAGCAGTCAGGGCCGTGTGCAGCTGGCTCTTGAAGAACACGTTCTGCGACCGATCAGACCATGCCCGCCAGCTGTCGGCTGTCAAAAGGGTCTCTCGCCAGCCAGCGTTGCTGCCAAAATCGCGCCACGAATTCTGTCCACACTTGGTGCAACGACAATGTGCGTACGGCATGTTTGGAAGTGGATCTCGGCAGCTGAAGGTACAGGTTGAAGAAGTGACCCAGCAGGGTCTCAATCGTCTTCACTCTCATATGATGTATCAGCTTCGATTTGTCCTGCGGAGTTATTCCCGGGAAACTAGGGAATCGAACCAGAAGTTACTCCGGAGGAAAATATACCGGGCGTTCAGAGTCAGCTGAAGAAGAGAATCTCACAGTTTGTCAAGCGACAGCAGAAGGCAGATATTCATCTCTCGCCTTTGTACAAACCTCTCTCTCTCTCTCTCTCTCTCTCTCTCTCTCTCTCTGTCAGACTCTTCTCCGTCAATAGCTCATGCAATAGCTGA